CAATTATCATATTTTTACACTGGCAAATCACTTTGTTATCTTTCCCCGCGCACCTCCAATCAGCGCCGTTGGCTACGTACGGCGCGAAAGCGGTTCGACATGAGTGCACACGCGAGGCGTGGTGGGCAGAGGTCGCAATCGGGTACCCGATACCCGTACCCTACCAGATACCCGGCCGGGTACGGGTAGCCGGGTATCGGGTAGGGTACGGGTACCTGTTTGCGACCCTGGTGCGGCCGGGTATGGGTAAGGAATCAAAACCCGTTTGCGACCTCCGGGGCAGAGGCACGCGGTTGGCATGGTGGTGGTGGTGGCGGTGGTGGTTGTGGTGGTGGTTGTGGTGGTGGTTGTGGTTGATGTGTGTCGCAATCGGGTACCCGTACCCGTACCCTACCCGTACCCGGCCAGGTACGGGTAGCCGGGTATCGGGTAGGGTACGGGTACCCGTTTGCGACCCTGGTGCGGCCGGGTACGGGTAAGGAATCAAAACCCGTTTGCGACCTCTGGTGGTGGGTGGGTGAGTGCGTGGGTGGGTGAGTGGGCGAGTGGGTGGGAGAGTTTGCGACCCTGGTGCGGCCGGGTACGGGTACGGGTAAGGAATCAAAACCCGTTTGCGACCTCTGGTGGTGGGTGGGTGAGTGCATGGGTGGGTGAGTGGGTGAGTGAGTGAGTTCGTGAGTGGGTGGGTGAGTGAGTTTGTGAGTGGGTCAGTGAGTGAGTAGCTGAATTAGTGGGTGGGTGAGTGAGTGAGTGAGTGGGAGAGTTTGCGACCCTGGTGCGGCCGGGTCCGGGTACGGGTAGGCCGTGAGTCACTGGTGAGTCACCATTTGTCACTCAATTCGGGTAGGGAACGGGTAGGGAACGGCTACCCGTACCTGGCCGAGTACGGGTAAGGAATCAAAACCCGTTTGCGACCCTGGTGCGGCCGGGTACGGGTAAGGAATCAAAACCCGTTTGCGACCTCTGGTTGGTGTGTGCGGGGAGGGGTGAGGGGATGAGGCCAGGGTGTGAAGGGGATACATTTGGCGGTGGGTGCGGGTGGATGGGGGTGGTGCGGGTGGCTACCTTGGGGGTCTCCAGAACTGCGTAGAGCCGAATGATGTTGGAGTGTTGCACCTTCTTCAAGATGCTCACCTCCCTCTCCAGCAGCCGCACGCCCACGCTGCCCGCCTCCGAAGGCAAAGAGATCACCCCACCGGTGGCCATGAGATGTTGACTACCTCGCCTGGTGTTGACTACCTCGCCTGGTGCGCAGGAGGTCGTGGGTTCGATCCTGATTCTGACGATGCCTGCTGCTGTATAATTGGAGTCTGCGTCTCTCTCATCATCATCATCACGGTGGATAGGAGATGTTGACTACCTCGCCTGGTATACAGGAGGTCGTGGGTTTTATTCCGATCCTGACGATGCCTGCTGCTGTATATTTGGAGTCTGCGTCTCTCTCTCATCATCATCACGGTGGCCATGAGGTGTTGACTACCTCGCCTGGTGTGCAGGAGGTCGTGGGTTCGATCCTGATTCTGACGACGCCTGCTGCTGTATAATTGGAGTCTGCGTCTCCCTCTCATCATCATCACGGTGGCCATGAGATGTTGACTACCTCCCCTGGTGCGCAGGAGGTCGTGGGTTCGATCACGACCCTGACGATGCCTGCTTCTGTATATTTGTAGTCTGCGTCTCTCTCTCATCATCATCACGGTGGCTAGGAGATGTTGACTACCTCCCCTGGTGTGCAGGAGGTCGTGGGTTCGATCACGACCCTGACGATGCCTGCTGCTGCTTCTGTATGTTTGGAGTCTGCGTCTCTCTCTCATCATCATCATCGTGGTAGGGGTACAGGCAGTGGTAGGTGCAGGGGTAGTGATAGAGGTAGTGGTAGAGGTAGTGGTAGGGGTAGTAGTAGGGGTAGTGGTAGGGGTAGTGGTAGGGGTAGTGGTAGGGGTAGAGGTGGTAGAGGTAGTGGTAGGGGTAGTGGTAGTGGTAGAGGTAGTGGTAGAGGTAGTAGAGGTAGGGGTAGTGGTAGTGGTGGTAGGGGTAGTGGTAGTGGTGGTAGGGGTAGAGGTAGGGGTAGTGGTAGTGGTAGAGGTAGTGGTAGAGGTAGTGGTAGGGGTAGTAGTAGGGGTAGTGGTAGGGGTACAGGCAGTGGTAGAGGTAGTAGAGGTAGGGGTAGTGGTAGTGGTAGGGGTAGTGGTAGGGGTAGAGGTGGTAGAGGTAGTGGTAGTGGTAGGGGTAGTGATAGGGGTAGTAGTAGGGGTAGTAGTAGGGGTAGTGGTAGGGGTAGTGGTAGTGGTAGAGGTAGTGGTAGAGGTAGTAGAGGTAGGGGTAGTGGTAGTGGTAGAGGTAGTGGTAGAGGTAGTAGAGGTAGGGGTAGTGGTAGTGGTGGTAGGGGTAGTGGTAGTGGTGGTAGGGGTAGAGGTAGGGGTAGTGGTAGTGGTAGAGGTAGTGGTAGAGGTAGTAGAGGTAGGGGTAGTGGTAGTGGTAGAGGTAGTGGTAGTGGTAGAGGTAGGGGTAGTGGTAGTGGTGGTAGGGGTAGAGGTAGGGGTAGTGGTAGTGGTAGAGGTAGTGGTAGAGGTAGTGGTAGGGGTAGTAGTAGGGGTAGTGGTAGGGGTACAGGCAGTGGTAGAGGTAGTAGAGGTAGGGGTAGTGGTAGTGGTAGGGGTAGTGGTAGGGGTAGAGGTGGTAGAGGTAGTGGTAGTGGTAGTAGTAGGGGTAGTAGTAGGGGTAGTAGTAGTGGTAGAGGTAGTGGTAGAGGTAGTAGAGGTAGGGGTAGTGGTAGTGGTGGTAGGGGTAGTGGTAGTGGTGGTAGGGGTAGAGGTAGGGGTAGTGGTAGTGGTAGAGGTAGTGGTAGAGGTAGTAGAGGTAGGGGTAGTGGTAGTGGTAGAGGTAGTGGTAGTAGAGGTAGGGGTAGTGGTAGTGGTAGAGGTAGTGGTAGAGGTAGTAGAGGTAGGGGTAGTGGTAGTGGTAGAGGTAGTGGTAGAGGTAGTAGAGGTAGGGGTAGTGGTAGTGGTGGTAGGGGTAGTGGTAGTGGTGGTAGTGGTAATTGTAGTGGTAGTAGTAGGGGTATGGGCGGTAGTGGTAGAGGTAGTGGTAGAGGCGGTAGTAGAGGTAGTTGTAGTGGTAGTTGTAGGGGTATGGGTGGTAGTGGTAGTGGTAGAGGTAGTGGTAGAGGCGGTAATACAGGTAGTTGTAGTGGTAGTTGTAGTGGTATGTGCGGTAGGAGTTCTCACTTTGTCCTTGTTGAGTTGCTTCACCGCACACTTCTCCCCGGTCGCCAGGTTCACAGCTTCGACGACCAAACCAAAACTCCCGCGACCCAGAACGCGGCCCAGACGGTACAACTCCTGGAGATGCGGTGGCGGGGGGAGACACGGACAAGACACATCAGTGGTGGTGGTGGTGAGCGCTAGAGACAGTGGTGGTGGTGGTGGTGAGCGCTAGAGACAGTGGTGGTGGTGGTGGTGAGCGCTAGAGGCTGAGACAGTGGTGGTGGTGGTGAGCGCTAGAGACAGTGGTAGTGGTGGTGAGCGCTAGAGACAGTGGTGGTGAGCGCTAGAGACAGTGGTAGTGGTGGTGAGCGCTAGAGACAGTGGTAGTGGTGGTGAGTGCTAGAGACAGTGGTAGTGGTGGTGGTGAGCGCTAGAGACAGTGGTAGTGGTGGTGAGCGCTAGAGACAGTGGTGGTGAGTGCTAGAGACAGTGGTAGTGGTGGTGGTGAGCGCTAGAGACAGTGGTAGTGGTGGTGGTGAGCGCTAGAGACAGTGGTGGTGGTGAGCGCTAGAGACAGTGGTGGTGGTGGTGAGCGCTAGAGACAGTGGTAGTGGTGGTGGTGAGCGCTAGAGAATGTGGTGGTGGTGGTGGTGAGCGCTAGAGAATGTGTCAGTGGTGGTGAGCGCTAGAGATGAGTTGGTGAGTGGATGAGTTGGTGAGTGGATGAGTTGGTGAGTGGATGAGTTGGTGAGTGGATGAGTTGGTGAGTGGGTGGGTGGATGAGTTGAGTGAATGAGTGGGCGAGTGGGTGGATGAGTTAATGAGTGAATGACAGTGGTGGTGGTGAGCGCTAGAGACAGTGGTGGTGGTGGTGGTGAGCGCTAGAGATGAGTTGGTGAGTGGATGAGTTGGTGAGTGGATGAGTTGGTGAGTGGATGAGTTGGTGAGTGGATGAGTTGGTGAGTGGGTGGGTGGATGAGTTGAGTGAATGAGTGGGCGAGTGGGTGGATGAGTTAATGAGTGAATGACAGTGGTGGTGGTGAGCGCTAGAGACAGTGGTGGTGGTGGTGGTGAGCGCTAGAGACAGTGGTGGTGGTGAGCGCTAGAGACAGTGGTAGTGGTGGTGGTGAGCGCTAGAGAATGTGGTGGTGGTGGTGAGCGCTAGAGAATGTGGTGGTGGTGGTGGTGAGCGCTAGAGATGAGTTGGTGAGTGGATGAGTTGGTGAGTGGATGAGTTGGTGAGTGGATGAGTTGGTGAGTGGATGAGTTGGTGAGTGGGTGGGTGGATGAGTTGAGTGAATGAGTGGGCGAGTGGGTGGATGAGTTAATGAGTGAATGACAGTGGTGGTGGTGAGCGCTAGAGACAGTGGTGGTGGTGGTGGTGAGCGCTAGAGACAGTGGTGGTGGTGGTGGTGAGCGCTAGAGAATGTGGTGGTGGTGGTGAGCGCTAGAGACAGTGGTGGTGGTGGTGGTGGTGAGCGCTAGAGAATGTGGTGGTGGTGGTGAGGTGGTAGCTGCTTTGGCACCAGTACGGAAGCCTCGTCCTGGTGCCGGGAATGTGGAGTGGGACTCCGTTCTCCCAGCCTCGCTGTCATGGCAACGCCGGCTCCTGATCGCCTCAACTCTCCCTGGTCAACTCGCTTGAGTCATGCGCGTGGAGTCTTGTCACCCTGACAAGTGAGATCAGGTGGTGAGCACTCATCACTCACTCGCTCACCAACTCATTCACTCACCAACTCATTCACTCGTTCACTCACTCACCAACTCACTTATCAACTCATCCACCCACCCACTCATCCACTCACCAACTCATCCACTCACCAACTCATCCACCCACCCACTCATCCACTCGTTCACCCACCCACCAACTCACAAACTCACTCACCAACTCATCCACCAACCCACTCACCAACTCATCCACTCATCACTCACTCACCAACTCATTCACCCAACTCATCCACTCATTCACTCATCACTCACCAACTCATCCACTCGTTCACTCGTTCACACCCTCACCCACCTACTCACAAACTCACTCACCAACTCATCCACCCACCCACTCACCAACTCATTCACTCATCACTCACTCACCAACTCACCCACCCACCCACTCACAAACTCACTCACCAACTCACCAACTCACCAACTCATCCACCCACCATCTCATCCACCCACCCACTCATCCACCCTGACAAGTGAGATCAGATGGTGAGCACTCATCACTCACTCACCAACTCATTCACTCACTCACCAACTCATTCACTCACCAACTCATCCACCTACCCACTCACCTACCCACCCACTCATCACTCACTCACCAACTCATTCACTCGTTCACACCCTCACCCACCTACTCACAAACTCACTCACCAACTCGCTTGAGTCATGCGCGTGGAGTCCTGTCACCCTGACAAGTGAGATCAGGTGGTGAGCACTCATCACTCACTCACCAACTCATTCACTCACCAACTCATTCACTCGTTCACCTACCCACCCACTCATTACTCACTCACCAACTCATCCACCCACCCACTCACCAACTCATTCACTCATCACTCACTCACCAACTCATTCACTCACTCACCAACTCATTCACTCATCCACTCGTTCACTCACTCACCCACCCATCACTCACTCACCAACTCATCCACCCACCCACTCACCAACTCATTCACTCATCACTCACTCACCAACTCATTCACTCACTCACCAACTCGTTCACTCACTCACCCACTCACTCACCCACTCATCAACTCATCCACCCACCCACTCACCAACTCATCCACTCATCAACTCATTCACTCACCCACTCATCCACCCACCCGCTCACACATCCACCCACTCACTAAGTCATCCACCCACACACTCACCAACTCATCCACCTACTCAAAGATCCCCCGTGTAGCCTTAACAGACTGTAGGGGCAAGTGCTGTTAGCGAGTAGCACCTATGAAGGCCGGCACGGCACACGAGGGGGTGGGTGGCCAGCACCACGCCCGGCCGCCTTTGTCTCCCCAGTGGCGATGTTTACACACCGCACCAGGTACTCATTTGAGGCTGAAAAATGTGACGTCACATCAAAATGTGCAACTTTAAATAAATATAGAATTGTTATAACAACGCTGCTTGTTATAGCAACACTCCTACAACATCAGAGTGCAGCGCCACATTAAATACGCGCTACGATGACAACAATAGTTTAAAGCGATTTGAAGCTTTTTTAAATCCTTTATATTAAGTTCGCTTGCTTGCTTGCGTGCTTGCTTGCTTAGGACCGTGCAAATCTTTCGGTCGTTTTTTAACCCACTTCCCGTGATCCAATCGAGCTGACATTTTGCACACAGACTCGTTGTGCGTGACAATTAATGTTCGTGAAAAAAATTCCCAAATTTTACACTGTTTAGGGAAAATAAATATTTAATTACCAATTGCTTAATACTGCAGACAATCATCTGACCCATAGGTGGCAGCCATCTCAAGCCAGAGGACGAGAGGACTCTAGCCGCCACGCATATAAAGGATTTAGAGTGAAAAACTTTGTTTTTACGGGTTATACTTGTAATTTTCAAAATGGAAATATGGATTTGAGGGGGAGGGAGGGGCAGAGCTTTATGACGTCATCTTTGCGGGGGGTCTATGACGTCATGTCACGTCCAAAATCGCGTGACGTCATTTACAAACGGTCCCTTAATAAGTTTATTTTCATTAAATTTTTTGTAATTTTATAATTTTTGTCAATCTACGTGACTTTAACCGAAAGACCCGAGGAATATTTACTTATTTTCTTGGTTCTTTCGGTAAAGTCGTCACGTAGAAGGGAAATAATAAAATAATAAAAATAAAACACCTGAGGACGGCTGCTTGCGTTGTGGCCGAAACGTCGTGAGAATTTTACTTTTATAAAGTTTTATTTTTATTATTTTATTATTTCCCTTTGTGACATTTTTATTTTATTATGTTTTATTTTCATTATTTTATTATTTCCCTTTGTGAGAATTTAAATTTTACAATGTTTTATTTTTATTATTTTATTATTTCCCTTTGTGAGAATTTAAATTTTATGTTTATTTTTATTATTTTATTATTTCCCTTTGTGAATTTTTTATTTTATTATGTTTTATTTTTATTATTTTATTATTTCCCTTTGTGAGAATTTAAATTTTATTATGTTTTATTTTTATTATTTTATTATTTCCCTTTGTGAGAATTTAAATTTTATAATGTTTATTTTTATTATTTTATTATTTCCCTTTGTGAAATTTTTAATTTTATTATGTTTTATTTTTATTATTTTATTATTTCCCTTTGTGAGAATTTTAATTTTATTATGTTTTATTTTTATTATTTTATTATTTCCCTTTGTGAATTTTTTAATTTTATTATGTTTTATTTTTATTATTTTATTATTTCCCTTCTACGTGGCGACTTTACCGAAAGAACCAAGAAGATGAATCCTTAGCAGCTACGAAAGAAGCTTTAAATCGAAATATTTAATTAGTTTTACCTCACAAAATTTGCCTTATAGGATAGAGAGAGATAAAAACATCGCAACAAACGATCGTAACGCCACCCGGGCAACTCTAACGTCACTAGTTTACAAACATTTAATAACCAATAACAATTAAAACATTTAAAAAAATAAAAACTTTAATTAGTTTTTACCTCACAAACTCCGCCTCGACGGGACAGAGCCCGAGATATAAACACAACTGACGATCGTAACGTCACCCGAGCAACGCAAACGTCGCAAACTTACAAACGTTTAATAAACACAAAGTATATTTAAAACGTAAACAAAAATTTAAAACTTTAATTCTTTAGTTTTTTTTCGCGCCTCGCAAACTTCGCCTCACAAACATTCCGCGAACTCGACGCGAATGAAAACATCGCGACAATCGGGCTAATTCTCTCACGTCGCTACTCACACACGCTTACTAAGCAACAATAATAACACTAAATGTTAACAAAATTTAAACTTTAATTTTGTTAAATTTTTTTACCTCAAACGGACGGAGCCCAAGAGGAAGAAACATTAAACAAATATATAACGATGCCGCGTCTCCATTGGTCAACCGCGCATCACGTGGGGGCGAACGGCGGCTTCCCATTGGTCAGACGCCGCGAAGGGGGGTCGGGGGGGGGAGGGGCTGTTTCCCCTAGCAACGCGACGCCGCGACCTGATTGGACAACGGTTGCTGGGCGATGATGCTCTCTGCACTCCATTGCTCCTGTCTGTCACAGATCCCCGCGATCGACGCTCCACTGCTCCTGTCTGTCGCTCACAGATCCCTGAGATCGACGCTCCACTGCTCCTGTCTGTCGCTCACAGATCCCCTCAGATCGACGCTCCACTGCTCCTGTCTGTCGCTCACAGATCCCCTCAGATCGACGCTCCACTGCTCCTGTCTGTCGCTCACAGATCCCCGAGATCGACGCTCCACTGCTCCTGTCTGTCACTCACAGATCCCCTCAGATCGACGCTCCACTGCTCCTGTCTGTCACTCACAGATCCCTGAGATCGACGCTCCACTGCTCCTGTCTGTCACTCACAGATCCCCGAGATCGACGCTCCACTGCTCCTGTCTGTCACTCACAGATCCCTGAGATCGACGCTCCACTGCTCCTGTCTGTCGCTCACAGATCCCCTCAGATCGACGCTCCACTGCTCCTGTCTGTCGCTCACAGATCCCCGCGATCGACGCTCCACTGCTCCTGTCTGTCGCTCACAGATCCCTGAGATCGACGCTCCACTGCTCCTGTCTGTCGCTCACAGATCCCTCAGATCGACGCTCCACTGCTCCTGTCTGTCGCTCTCAGATCCCCGAGATCGACGCTCCACTGCTCCTGTCTGTCGCTCACAGATCCCCGAGATCGACGCTCCACTGCTCCTGTCTGTCACTCACAGATCCCTGAGATCGACGCTCCACTGCTCCTGTCTGTCGCTCACAGATCCCTCAGATCGACTCTCCACTGCTCCTGTCTGTCGCTCTCAGATCCCCGAGATCGACGCTCCACTGCTCCTGTCTGTCACTCACAGATCCCCGCGATCGACACTCCACTGCTCCTGTCTGCCGCTCACAGATCCCCTCAGATCGACGCTCCACTGCTCCTGTCTGTCGCTCACAGATCCCTCAGATCGACGCTCCACTGCTCCTGTCTGTCGCTCACAGATCCCCGAGATCGACGCTCCACTGCTCCTGTCTGTCGCTCACAGATCCCTGAGATCGACGCTCCACTGCTCCTGTCTGTCACTCACAGATCCCCTCAGATCGACGCTCCACTGCTCCTGTCTGTCACTCACAGATCCCTGAGATCGACGCTCCACTGCTCCTGTCTGTCACTCACAGATCCCCGAGATCGACGCTCCACTGCTCCTGTCTGTCACTCACAGATCCCTGAGATCGACGCTCCACTGCTCCTGTCTGTCACTCACAGATCCCCTCAGATCGACGCTCCACTGCTCCTGTCTGTCACTCACAGATCCCTGAGATCGACGCTCCACTGCTCCTGTCTGTCGCTCACAGATCCCCTCAGATCGACGCTCCACTGCTCCTGTCTGTCGCTCACAGATCCCCGCGATCGACGCTCCACTGCTCCTGTCTGTCGCTCACAGATCCCTGAGATCGACGCTCCACTGCTCCTGTCTGTCGCTCACAGATCCCTCAGATCGACGCTCCACTGCTCCTGTCTGTCGCTCTCAGATCCCCGAGATCGACGCTCCACTGCTCCTGTCTGTCACTCACAGATCCCCGAGATCGACGCTCCACTGCTCCTGTCTGTCACTCACAGATCCCCGCGATCGACACTCCACTGCTCCTGTCTGCCGCTCACAGATCCCCTCAGATCGACGCTCCACTGCTCCTGTCTGTCGCTCACAGATCCCTCAGATCGACGCTCCACTGCTCCTGTCTGTCGCTCACAGATCCCCGAGATCGACGCTCCACTGCTCCTGTCTGTCGCTCACAGATCCCTCAGATCGACGCTCCACTGCTCCTGTCTGTCACTCACAGATCCCTGAGATCGACGCTCCACTGCTCCTGTCTGTCGCTCACAGATCCCTCAGATCGACGCTCCACTGCTCCTGTCTGTCACTCACAGATCCCCGCGATCGACACTCCACTGCTCCTGTCTGCCGCTCACAGATCCCCGAGATCGACACTCCACTGCTCCTGTCTGCCGCTCACAGATCCCCTCAGATCGACGCTCCACTGCTCCTGTCTGTCGCTCTCGGCGAGCCGCGTGACGTCACGCGAGCGACATGACGTCATGCGACGAGCGAGGGGGTGGGCGAGCGACGTGACGTCACGCGAGGGACATGACGTCATGCGAGGAGCGAGGGGGTCGGCGAGCGACGTGACGTCACGCGAGCGACGTGACGTCACGCGCGCACGGTGGCGGGTGACGTAATTTTTCTTCGCGGCGTTCGACATGACGTCACCTCCGGCGTTGATGTCACTGTGAGGAGCGGGGAGAGGCGGTGAGGAGGTGGTGAGCAGAGAAGAGGAGGGGGAGGTGAGGGGTGGTAAAGAGGTGGTGAGGGGTGGTGAGGTGGTGAGGAGGTGGTGAGGAGATGAGGGAGAGAAGAGGAGCAGGCGGCCACAGCGAGACGCAGCGAGGAGGAGGTGAGTGGAGAGTGGAGGTGGTGAGGAGGTGAGTGGTGAGTGGAGGTGGTGAGGAGGTGAGTGGTGAGTGGAGGTGGTGAGGAGGTGAGTGGTGAGTGGAGGTGGTGAGGAGGTGAGTGGTGAGTGGAGGTGGTGAGGAGGTGAGTTGTGAGTGGAGGTGGTGAGGAGGTGAGTGGTGAGTGGAGGTGGTGAGGAGGTGAGTTGTGAGTGGAGGTGGTGAGGAGGTGAGGGGAGCTGGTGAGGTGAGTGGTGAGTGGAGTTGGTGAGGTGGTGAGTGGTGAGTGGTGAGGGAGCAGAGGGAGAGGTGAGTTGTGAGGGGAGCTGGTGAGGAGGTGAGGGTGCAGAGGGAGTGGTGAGTTGTGAGGGGAGCTGGTGAGGAGGTGAGGGTGCAGAGGGAGAGGTGAGTGGAGGTGGTGAGGGGGCAGAGGAAGTGGTGAGTGGTGAGTGGAGCTGGTGAGGTGGTGAGGGGGCAGAGGGAGAGGTGAGTGGAGGTGGTGAGGGGGCAGAGGGAGTGGTGAGTGGTGAGTGGAGCTGGTGAGGAGGTGAGGGGGCAGAGGGAGAGGTGAGTGGTGAGTGGAGGTGGTGAGGGAGCAGAGGGAGTGGTGAGTGGTGAGTGGAGCTGGTGAGGAGGTGAGGGGGCAGAGGGAGAGGTGAGTGGTGAGTGGAGGTGGTGAGGGGGCAGAGGAAGTGGTGAGTGGTGAGTGGAGCTGGTGAGGAGGTGAGGGGGCAGAGGGAGAGGTGAGTGGTGAGTGGAGGTGGTGAGGGAGCAGAGGGAGTGGTGAGTGGTGAGTGGAGCTGGTGAGGTGGTGAGGGTGCAGAGGGAGAGGTGAGTGGTGAGTGGAGGTGGTGAGGGGGCAGAGGGAGTGGTGAGTGGTGAGTGGAGGTGGTGAGGAGGTGAGGGTGCAGAGGGAGAGGTGAGTGGAGGTGGTGAGGGGGCAGAGGAAGTGGTGAGTTGTGAGGGGAGCTGGTGAGGAGGTGAGGGGGCAGAGGGAGAGGTGAGTGGTGAGGGGAGTTGGTGAGGAGGTGAGTGGAGAGCGGAGGCAGGATGAGGTGAGGGAGGAATCCCAGCGGTAGCGAGTGGGTGGGTGAGTGAATGGGTGACTGAGTGGATGGGTGAGTGAGTAGGTGAGTGGATGGACGAATTAGTGAGTGAATGGCTGAGTGATTGAACTAATGGGTGGGTGCGTGGGTGAGTGAATGGGTGAGTGAGCAGGTGAGTGATTGGGTGAGTGGTGAGTGGTTGAGTGAGTGGGTGAGTGAGCAGGTTAGTGAATGGGTGAGTGGTTGAGTGAGTGATTGAGTGGGTGGGTGAGTGAGTAGATGAGTGAGTGGGTGAGTGAGTGAATAGGTGAGTGGGTGGGTGAGTGAGCAGGTGAGTGAATGGGTGAGTGGTTGAGTGAGTGATTGAGTGGGTGGGTGAGTGAGTAGATGAGTGAGTGGGTGAGTGAGTGAATAGGTGAGTGGGTGGGTGAGTGAGCAGGTGAGTGAATGGGTGAGTGGTTGAGTGAGTGATTGAGTGGGTGGGTGAGTGAGTAGATGAGTGAGTGGGTGAGTGAGTGAATAGGTGAGTGGGTGGGTGAGTGAGCAGGTGAGTGAATGGGTGAGTGGTTGAGTGAGTGATTGAGTGGGTGGGTGAGTGAGTAGATGAGTGAGTGGGTGAGTGAGTGAATAGGTGAGTGGGTGGGTGAGTGAGCAGGTGAGTGAATGGGTGAGTGGTTGAGTGAGTGATTGAGTGGGTGGGTGAGTGAGTAGATGAGTGAGTGGGTGAGTGAGTGAATAGGTGAGTGGGTGGGTGAGTGAGCAGGTGAGTGAATGGGTGAGTGGTTGAGTGAATGATTGAGTGGGTGGGTGAGTGAGTAGATGAGTGAGTGGGTGAGTGAGTGAATAGGTGAGTGGGTGGGTGAGTGAGCAGGTGAGTGAATGGGTGAGTGGTTGAGTGAGTGATTGAGTGGGTGGGTGAGTGAGTAGATGAGTGAGTGGGTGAGTGAGTGAATAGGTGAGTGGGTGGGTGAGTGAGCAGGTGAGTGAATGGGTGAGTGGTTGAGTGAGTGATTGAGTGGGTGGGTGAGTGAGTAGATGAGTGAGTGGGTGAGTGAGTGAATAGGTGAGTGGGTGGGTGAGTGAGCAGGTGAGTGAATGGGTGAGTGGTTGAGTGGGTGGGTGAGTGGTTGAGTGGTTGAACTAATGGGTGAGTGGTTGAGTGAGTGGGTGGGTGAGTGGTTGAGTGAGTGGGTGAGTGAGCAGGTGAGTGGGTGGGTGAGTGAGTGGGTGAGTGAGTGGGTGAGTGAGTGAGTGGGTGAGTGGTTGAACTAATGGGTGAGTGAATGGGTGAGTGGTTGAGTGAGTGGGTGGGTGAGTGGTTGAGTGAGTGGGTGAGTGAGCAGGTGAGTGAATGGGTGAGTGAGCAGGTGAGTGAATGGGTGAGTGGGTGGGTGAGTGAGCAGGTGAGTGATTGGGTGAGTGGTTGAGTGAGTGGGTGATTGAGCAGGTGAGTGAATGGGTGAGTGGTTGAGTGAGTGATTGAGTGGGTGGGTGAGTAAGTAGATGAGTGAGTGGGTGAGTGAGTGAATAGGTGAGTGGGTGGGTGAGTGAGCAGGTGAGTGAATGGGTGAGTGGTTGAGTGGGTGGGTGAGTGGTTGAGTGGTTGAACTAATGGGTGAGTGAATGGGTGAGTGGTTGAGTGAGTGGGTGGGTGAGTGGTTGAGTGAGTGGGTGAGTGAGCAGGTGAGTGGGTGGGTGAGTGAGTGGTTGAGTGAGTGGGTGAGTGAGCAGGTGAGTGGATGAGTGAGCAGGTGAGTGAATGGGTGGGTGGGTGAGTGAGCAGGTGAGTGAATGGGTGAGTGGTTGAGTGAGTGGTTGAGTGAGTGAGTGGGTGAGTGAGCAGGTGAGTGAGTGGGTGAGTGAGCAGGTGAGTGAGTGGGTGGGTGAGTGAGTGAGTAGATGAGTGAGTGGGTGGGTGAGTGAGTGAGTAGATGAGTGAGTGGGTGAGTGGGTGGGTGAGTGAATGGGTGAGTGGTTGAGTGAGTGGGTGGGTGAGTGGTTGAGTGGATGAGTGGTTGAGTGAGTGGGTGAGTGAGTGGTTGAGTGGTTGCGTGAGCAGGTGGGTGAGCAGGTGAGTGAATGGGTGAGTGGTTGAGTGAGTGGGTGAGTGAGCAGGTGAGTGAGTGAATGGGTGGGTGGGTGAGTGAGCAGGTGAGTGAGTGAATGGGTGAGTGGTTGAGTGAGTGGTTGAGTGAGTGAATGGGTGAGTGCGTGAGTGCGTGAGCAGGTGAGTGAATGGGTGAGTGGGTGAGTGAGCAGGTGAGTGAGTGATTGGGTGAGTGAGCAGGTGAGTGAGTGAGTGATTGGGTGAGTGGGTGAGTGGTTGAGTGAGTGGGTGAGTGAGCAGGTGAGTGATTGGTTGAGTGGGTGGGTGAGTGAGTGAGTGAATAGGTGAGTGAATGGGTGAGTGGGTGGGTGAGTGAGTAGGTGAGTGAATGGGTGAGTGAGCAGGTGAGTGAATGGGTGAGTGGTTGAGTGAGTGGGTGAGTGAGCAGGTGAGTGATTGGTTGAGTGGGTGGGTGAGTGAGTGAATAGGTGAGTGAATGAGTGGGTGAGTGAGTGAGTGGGTGAGTGAGCAGGTGAGTGAGTGGGTGAGTGAGCAGATGAGTGAGTGAGTAGGTGAGTGAGTAGGTGAGTGAGTGGTTGAGTGAGCAGGTGAGTGAATGACTGGGTGAGTGAGCAGGTGAGTGAGTGAGTGAGTGAGCAAGTGAGTGAATAGGTGAGTGGGTGAGTGAGTAGATGAGTGAGCAGGTGAGTGAATGGGTGAGTGGGTGAGTGAGCAGGTGAGCGAGCGGGCGGTTAATCCTGCGTGACATCTGCTTCACACTCATCGCGCGTTTCAGATTCTGTCACGAAAAAACCATCAAAATTTGCCAAATTCAACAACAACAACTACTACACGCCTGATTATCCCATTGGGATCACATCAGCAGCATCAGCCATCGCCCCCCACTACTCCTGGCAGCAGTCTCGTGCACATGGCCAGCTACCACCGGAGCCATCGAAGTCTTGGCAGGACCCTCCTGAATAATGAAAGAGTCCTGAGACTCGATGGAGGTAGCATTAATGAAGGGAAGGAGTGTTAATAGTATGTAGCTGCAGTAACTAAACAACCACGTAAACAACTAAAGTATAAACTACATAGTATCATCAGTGTACTAAATTATTGGAGAGTATATTTAGTATACTGATGACACTATGTAGTTTATACTTTAGTTGTTTATGTGGTGGTTTTAGTTACTGCAGCTACATACTATTAACACTCCTTCCCTTTGTTAATGCTACCCCTATCCCCTCCCTGTGATGCTGCTAATCCTGCATAGTGCACGGGCATAATGACTTGAAACCCCCCGCCCACCTCCTACGCATTTCACAAGTAGTACTAATCGCATACCTGCATTTCCCATAAATATGCTACATTCCTCTTGATATGCAAATTATTTTGTCAAGGCGCTCTTCCCCCTCTAACCCAGCTGCTTAAATAGACGCTCCAAGCTTGGTGGTGTTTCATTCAGACGCTGTCTTCTCGACAGACCTGTTCTTCACCTGAGGACGGCTGCTTGCGTTGTGGTCGAAACGTCGTGAGAATTGTATTTTATAATGTTTTATTTTTATTCTTTTATTATTTCCCTTCTGCGTGACGACTTTACCGAAAGAACCAAGAATATGAATCCCTGCAGTCACGAAAGAAGCTTTAAATCGAAATTTAAATCGAAAAATACATTCTCGGTTCTTTCGGTAAAGTCACGTAGGTCGACAATTAAAGTAATTAAATAAAAATGTAAAATAATAAACGCTACAAAAACCCACGACGTTTCGACCTCAACACAAGCGGTCTCCATCACCGTCTGGTGTAGACCGCTCGTGTTGAGACGGGAACGTCGTGGGTTTTTGTAGCTTTTATTATTTTCAATTTATAATTCAATTTTTATTAATTTTATGTTTATTTTCTATCTCTCCGTGACTTTACCGAAAGAACCAAGACTATGAATTGCTGCCGTCACGAAAGTGTAAAGTCTAAATGTTTATCAAGATGACCAAGAAGACAACCAAACGCGTTGCTACCCTTCTTGGAAAGACGATCACGGCCGGCGTTAAGACGTTAAGAATTTTACTGGTAGGAACGAAGTGGACCAGCCTACAATAGATTATATCGTCCGTCCGTCTGTCCGTCCGTTCGTCCGTGTAGCAACATCGCCCCCTACTGCAAACACTTGGCATGACCCTACAAAAACCTTTAGACTCAGTGACGCTTTCCTGGCTAAACAAGTGTAACATTCCCTTATAATTCCCTCAGATAGCTTTTAATTAAAACATTTAAATTAATGAGGCTTTCCTGGCTAAACAAGTGTAACATTCCCTTATAATTCCCTGAGATAGCTTTTAATAAAAACTTGTAAATTAAAATTTAACTCACAGCGGCCTAAAGCCTACAGCTAGGCCTAAAGCCTAGAACTTAGGCCTCAAACTCTCCCTTCGTATCGTACCCCCGCGTGTGTGAAAGGGAGTTAATGTTTAACAATGTTACATTCCCTGATGTTTTTAAATAGAAACATTTACATTTAAAGCTTTTACATAAATAATTAAAACATTTATATTAAAAATGAACTCACGGCGGCCTAAAGCCTACAGCTAGGCCCAAAGCCTAGAACTAAGCCTCAAACTCTCCCTTCGTATCGTACCCCCGCGTGTGTGAAAGGGAGTTAATGTTTAACAATGTTACATTCCCTGATGCTTTTAAATAGAAACATTTACATTTAAAGCTTTTACATAAATAATTAAAACATTTAAATTAAAAATTAACTCACAGCGGCCTAAAGCCTACAGCTAGGCCTAAAGCCTAGAACGAGGCCTCACACTCTCCCTTCGTATCGTCCGATTAGGTGTAGCAACATCGCCCCCTACTGCAAACACTTGGCAGGACCCTAGAAAAACCTTTAGACTCAGTGGGGCTTTCCTGGCTAAACAAGTGTAATAATACATTACGTTTATATTCTTTGGTTATTCGTTCCTACCAGCCCACCCCGCAGGGTCCTGTTTTCGCTGCTGTAAATTCCACAGGTGGGAAAACCCCGATTTTTCTTTTCCCAGCGGCATGCATCGGGGTTTTTTCTTTAATACAATTAAACCCGATTTGGGGAATTAAAACCTGAAATTCTAGATTTGAAGCTTTCGTGAATGCAAGGATTCATATTCGTAGGTTTTTTCGGTAAAGTCACCATGTAGGTAAAAAATAAAAATTAATAAAAGTAAAATAAAATAAAAATCACGACGTTTCGGAGGCAACACAAGCTTCCGTCTTCAGGTGGAACCGTCACAGCACGATAGCTGTATCAAGTAAGAGAAATTCCAAGAAAACCGTCCTTGTATATATACTGGTTGAGGGTGGGAGGAGCCAAGGTAGGCCCCTGGATATAATTAATATTGTGAAGTTGGTGCGGCTAAAGCCAAGGACGGTGACGATGATATTTGTGTGTGATGTGGGTGGCGATGATCTTTGTGGGTGGTGTGGGTGGTGTGGGTGGTGATGATCTATGTGTGTGGTGTGGGTGGTGATGATCTTTGTTGGTGGTGTGGGTGGCGATGATCTTTGTGGATGTTGTCGGTGACGATGATATTTGTGTGTGATGTGGGTGGCGATGATCTTTGTCTTTCCGCCACCCCTCCTACCCCCGCCCCCTCACTACAAGGAGACAAAATGATCTCCGAGGGCTCCGCCAAGATCCTGTGCCCGGTGTGCAACTGGGTGCTGGTGAGCCCGTCGGCGCTCGAGGACCACATGAAGCAGCACGGCAAGTCGGCCGTCTACCGCTGCGACGAGTGCCCCTACACGGCCGACAAGCCGGGCGTCCTCGTCAGCCACCGGCGCACGCACACCGGCGAGCGGCCGTACCGATGCGGCGTGTGCGCCAAGGCGTTCCGCGTTCTCGGCAACCTTCGCAGCCACCAGCGCATCCACACAGGCGAGAAGCCCTACAAGTGCACCGTGTGCTGGAAGGAGTTCCGCGAGGCGGGCATGTTGCGCACGCACCAGCGCACGCACACCGGCGAAAAGCCCTACCGCTGTGGCGTGTGCGGACGGGCGTTCGCGCACACGGGGACGTTGAGCCGGCACAACAACACGCACGCGATGCGGGCGCCGAGCTCCAACGCCGAAGACGCCGCCGAGGACGAGGACGCCGAAGACGCCGCAGCCGCCGCAGACGCCGAAGAAGAAGAAGAAGACTCGGATGACGTCGTCGTAGGATGAGTGGCAACCGACCGGAGGGGGGGGCGGGGGCGGCTTGCGAGGGCGCGGAATCGAGGGATCGCCCTCGCACCCGGCTCGGCACGCGGAGAAAAATAGATTCATCCCCCACCGTGCTTTTAAGGGAGGGTGCGGTCCGATTTTGGCACGGTCGGTGGCTACGTACGGTGCGAAAGAAGTGCCACGTACTTGCATCTCGGCCGCCTGGTGCTCCGAGGGCAGTCCCGAGCCAGGCGAGGTCGTTGGAACTTTTTTCCCACCCGCGGAAAGCGTAGAGAGGGCCGCGCCGCCGGGTTGGCGGAGTAGCCGCCGCCGCGTGCTCGCCCGCGTAACCGTGCCGGGGCGTCACGTGCCGGCGTTGCTGACGATCGCGTCATTCTGCGCCCCCCCCTCCCAGCGACGTTATCACGGTTTGGTTCTGGCTCGGGTCGGCAAATATACCAGTGGGAAAAAGAAAAAAAACCCATAACGTGCGCTGGCTCGGTTCGGATATCGCCAGTGGAAAAAAAACACCCGTACTGGCTCGGTTCGGTTCGGATGTCGCCAGTGGAAAAAAAACACCCGTACCGTGCTGGCTCGGTTCTGATGTCGCCAGTGGAAAAAACAAACCCGTACCGCGCTGGCCCCGCGCTGGCTCAGTTCGGATGTCGCCAGTGGAAAAGGGGGTTTAATATACATTTGACGTGTACACATTTGCCACCAGTGAATTTGTTTCAAACGAACAATGGCTCAACGCTCCCTGTACGACATGCAGGTCTGCGGGTGCGTTCCAGGTGATCCCACGCACGCGTCAGTTAGAGGCCCCCCCCCACCGCGTTTTCTGACCGTGCCCGTCGGCTTCCTGTTCGCCGAACGAACGGACGGCAGCGTCGTCGTAAGGCAGGGGCTGGGGAACCTTTGCTCTGCCAACGGCCAATTGGATATTTATACAGTAACATCATTCGCGGGCCGTACAAAATTATCAACTTAAAAATTAGCCCGTGAGATTTGGTCAAACGTCTAATTAACTCGCCCCTAACGCGATGGGCTGTAACTGCTTCTCTTTGGCGAGTCGTGGTGATGTTAGCTGGCTATTGATGATGTCGCTGCTACTCGCAACTGCTTTTCCAGGTTTGCTCCGAGATTTGTTGAATTTCGAGTCCCGCCTGCGGTTGCCTTGGCAGGGCCAGACCCAGACGATTTCGCGGGCCTCGTACGATCCCCACCCCTGTCGTAAGGCCACCGTGCTCATCGCCACAGATTGAACCGTGATACCTCGCCGCCGATTTCGTCGAGGAGCATAAACCATCATCACAGCGGTCACCGCGTCGTCGCGCGGCGCTGTCAGGTTAGCTCCTGCGGCCGTCTGGAACGCTCTTCTTTCCGAAACCAGGAAGCCGACGGGAGCCGCGCTCTTTTAAATCAACGTCATCTAGATTGACAAACTCACTTCTTTAAAGCTGCTTGTTGTGGTTGTTGTTGTGTTAGTTTGTTGTCCTTGTCCCCGCACCTCCGATTAGCGCGGTTGACTACCTGCGGTGAAATATAAATTGTTCATACAAACTACTACACACTACTACAAAATACTACAAACTACTACACACTACTACACACTACTACACACTACTACAAACTACTACACACTACTACACACTACTACACACTACTACACACTACTACAAACTACTACACACTACTACACACTACTACAAACTACTACACACTACTACATACTACTATACACTACTACACACTACTACACACTACTACACACTACTACAAACTACTACACGCTACTACACGCTACTACACGCTACTACAAGCTACTACACGCTACTATACACTACTACACACTACTATACACTACTACACACTACTACACACTACTACACGCTACTATATACTACTACACGCTACTATATACTACTACACGCTACTACACACTACTACACGCTACTACAAGCTACTACACACTACTACACGCTACTACACACTACTACAAACTACTACAAACTACTACACACTACTACACACTACTACACACTACTACACGCTACTACACACTACTACACACTACTACACACTACTACACACTACTACACACTACTACACACTACTACACACTACTACACACTACTACACACTACTACACACTACTACACACTACTACACACTACTACACACTACTACACACTACTACAAACTACTACACACTACTACACACTACTACAAACTACTATACACTACTACACACTACTACAAACTACTACACACTACTACACACTACTACAAACTACTATACACTACTACACACTACTACAAACTACTATACACTACTACACACTACTACACACTACTACAAACTACTACACACTACTACACACTACTACACACTACTACACACTACTACACTACATTGATAACTCACTTCCTTAGAACCGTTTGTTTAGTTTAGCCTGCCGTCCTTCCCCCGCACCTCCGTTGCCGCGGTTGCACGGTAAGCGAGAGCCCGGCGATGCTTTCAACGTTGGGGTCATCGCCGAGTCGTATTCTTGACCTTGGATACCGTGGGTAATGGGCGGGGCTAAGTGACACGTGTGTCCTACAGAGCACGGCGCCACCGCTCCATGCTCTGGCAGAGGTCGCAACCGGGTACCCGATACCCGTACTCTACCCGGCTACCCGATACCCGTACCCTACCCGATACCCGGCTACCCATACCCGATACCCGTACCCTACCCGATACCTGGCTACCCGATACCCGTACCCTACCCGATACCCGGCTACCCGATACCCGTACCCTACCCGATACCCGGCTACCCGTACCCGATACCCGTACCCTACCCGGTAGACGTTCGTGATCCTGGTGCGGCCGGGTACGGGTATGGGTAGGCCGTGAGTCACTGGTGAGTAACCGTTTGTCACTCATTTCGGGTAGGGTACGGGTACGGGTAGGGAACGGCTACCCGTACCCGGCCGGGTACGGGTAACCCATTTGCGACCCTGGTGCGGCCGGGTACGGGTATGGAATCAAAACCCGTTTGCGACCTCTGTGCTCTGGTGCCATCTGGCTAACCGACCCGGCCTCTCTCTCCGTGTGTTTGTCTCGCGTGCAACCGTAGTGGGGGGGGGGGGGGGGTGGATGGACCAGCCGTGGATTTTCGGCAGCCGTTGTACATAGTAGCCATGGCGGGCGCGTTAATGATACGGAAATGTTAATGTTGTGAGGAGCGAGCGGCAGAAAGGCGGGCGGACCCCCGGGTTCGATTCCCGCTCACAGCCCAAACGCCAAGTGACGGTTATCCGAAACCGGTCCCAGGGCCGCCTCCCCTAGGTCGACTCAGCCTCGAAAGAGTAGCCGGTGCGGTGTGTAAAATCACCGGGCGTGGTGCTGGCCACCCACCCTACCCCGTGCGCCACATTGCCGGCCTTCGTAGGCGCTGCTCGCTAACAGCACTTGCTCCCAACATTTTGTTACAGGCTACACGGCGGAGGGAAGGGGGGGGGGGTAGATCTTTGTCTTTGTTAATGATTCTAGATTTGAAGCTTTCGTGACTGCAAGGATTCATACGGTAAAGTCACGTAGGTAAAAAATGAAGTTAAAATTAATACAAATAAAATAATTAAAATCACGACGTTTCGGAGGCAACACAAGTCTCCGTCATCAGGTGGGACCGTCGCAGCCAGATTTGCTGTACTTGGTACTTGATACTTGGTACTTGATACAGCAAATCTGGCTGTGACGGTCCCACCTGATGACGGAGACTTGTGTTGCCTCCGAAACGTCGTGACTTTTATTATTTTATTTGTATTAATTTTAATTTCATTTTTTACCTACGTGACTTTACCGAAAAAACTACGAGTTTTGTCAACGATATTTAAACCCGCGATTGCCGCGTTAGCGTCGTCTTGTGCCAGTCCTTCCTGTGCGTGCCCGGACGTTTCCTGCAATGGAACGAACGCGGTTGGTCGAGTGGCCGTGCGCCGCCGCCATCGTCGCCGTTGTCATCATCGCTAAACGGTTTTGTCCCCGTGGCCATGCCGGGCGGTGGGGGGGGGCGGTGGTGAGGGTGGTCGAGAGAGAGGAAGTCAACGGCTCGAGACGTACAGGGATGACGCGAGGGGAGTGAAAGTCGAGGGTCGAACGAATCGGAAAGGAGTGGGGAGAGGCCTGAGAATGGAGGGATCCCCCCCTGTCCCCAAGACGGACGGAGGAGGAAGTCAACGGCTCAAGACTTTCAGGGATGACGCGTGAGGAGTGAGAGTCGAGGGTCGAACGAATCGGAAAGGAGCGGGGAGAGAGGCCCGAGAACGGAGGGCTCCCCCCCCCCCCCCCGTCCCCAAGGCGGACAGACGGAGAAGGAAGTCAACGGCTCGAGACTTTCAGGGATGACGCGTGAGGAGTGAAAGTCGAGGGTCGAACGAATCGGAAAGAAGCGGGGAAAGAGGCCGAGAACGGAGGGGTCCCCCCCCTGTCCCCAAGGCGGACGGAGGAGGAAGTCAACGGCTCAAGACGTACAGGGATGACGCGAGGGGAGTGAAAGTCGAGGGTCGAACGAATCGGAAAAGAGCGGGAAAGAGGCCCGAGAACGGAGGGCTGCCTCCCTCCCTCCCCAAGGTGGACGGAGGAGAGGAAGTCAACGGCTCAAGATGAGCGGCAGCGGCGGCGGAGGAGGAATGACCAAGCGAAGATTTCAGGGGTGATGAGAGGGTGACGATGGGAAGAGAGAGAGAGAGGAGTGAGCTGCACGGAGGGAGGAGCGAGGTCTGGAGTCTCGGTCGTACTCCGATTGTAAATGTCGTTGTGGCTTTGCTCTCCAACACACCGGTGGGTGCTGTACTGGTAACAAGTTGCCACGTGCTGTTTACGTGACAAACCCCTTACCGATTGGCTGTGTCGGGTGGTATATTTACGCGATTCTAACCCAAAAAAAAAACCTGTATTGTGGATATTGCTCGCGAAAGCCTGCTACGCTGTTAAACCTTCTGTAGTCTGTTTTCACAGCGGGTGGTGTCTGCGAGAAGGGGAGGCGGGGCTAGAGGGGGGGGAGGGGTTCAGAGTGGGAGTGGCCACACGGGAGGCAACGTCATTTTCCAGGAGGTTCAAACCGACAATGACAGAGGTGGTGCTCGTTTTCGTTGTTGTTGCTGCTGTACGTACGTCTGCGCTGCGGTTTTCTTCGTCAGTAAAGTCCCACCGTCCGTCCGTCCGTCTCTGCCCGTCCGGTTCATTGGTTTGCCGCTCAACGGCACGGCTCAAGAGAGAACAGTCCTGTAGTTTGAGTCGCTACCCACCCGGGTCGGATCTCCGATCGGCGCGGTCGATCGCGTACGGCGCGGAAAGGAGTTCAACGTGCGCCGCGTGCAGATCACGCAGGAATCTGACCCCCCCCCCAAAAGACTCCGACTCCTGCCACTGGGGGTGGCCCCCTTTTTAAATCCTTTATTAAATCCTTTATATTAAGTTCGCTTGCTTGCTTACGACCGTGCAAATCTTTCGGTCGTTTTTTTAACCCACTTTCCGTGATCCAATCGAGCTGACATTTTGCCCGCAGACTCGTTGTGCGTGACAAAAATCCAAAATTTAATTACCAATTGTTTAATGCTGCCAGACAATCATCTGACCCATAGGTGGCAGCCATCTCAAGCCAGAGGACGAGAGGACTCTAGCCGCCACGCATATAAAGGATTTATAGTGAAAAACTTTGTTTTTTACGGGTTATTTTTTTAAAAATAATAATAAAATAAAACGGGAGGTTCCATGGGGGGCTGAATCGGGGAAAACGACGGACGTCGTCGCTACAACGGCGGCGGTCAGAAATTGTTTTGACAGCTCTCCTTTTAATCACGACGGGGGCCGGGGGGGGCGCAGGGGGGGGGGGGGGCGAACCGACGCAGTGCGCCCATCGCGGACGGTCACTCGTCCGCGAGGCGACGCGCCAGCCAGCATGGTGACCACTCGTCGCTGTCGCAGACGGAGGGAGAGCGACTCGGAGGGAGGACGACTCGGGAGAGAGGGCGACTCGGAGAGAGGGAGGATGACTGAGAGAGAGGGCGACTCAGAAAGAGAATGGACTCAGAGAGAGAGAACGACTCCGAGAGAGGGCAACTCAGAGAGAGGACGACTCAGAGAGAGAGGACGACTCAGAGAGAGAACGACTCAGAGAGAGGGGACGACTCGGAGAGTGAGAGAACGACTTCGAGAGAGAGAACGTCACAGAGAGAGAGGGCAACTCAGAGAGTGAGAGAACGACTCCGTGAGAGAGAACAACAGAGAGAGGACGACTCAGAGAGTGAGAGAATGACTCCGTGAGAGAGAACGTCACAGAGAGAGAGGACGATTCAGAGAGAGAGAGAGAATGACTCAGAGATAGAGAACGACACAGAGAGTGAGAGAACGACTCTTAAGAGAGAGGGCAACTCAGAGAGAGAGATGGACGACTCAGAGAGAGAGAGAGGACGACTCAAGAGGTGCCAGGAGGAGGAACCACAGGCGAGCGGTGAGGCAGCTACAAATCCTCCCACGCACGCGAGAGGTGACGGAGGAGTGGGGGGGAGAAACGCTCAATCCCACACAGATGTAACAGACGGGGAAAACCACTTTGCCGTTCCACCTTCTCCAGTCGAGCCGGTGGGTACGGCGCTCCTCTTCCTCGACGACCACGGGAATGGTGGGGGTTGGGTTGGGGGGGGGGGGGGGTTTCGCACGCCGGCCCCCAGGGTCTGGAACGCTATCACCAATAAACTGCAGCTTGGATCACTACCTGTGAGATCTTCACACAAAACTGCTCTGGAGGATTTACACCATTGGAACCTCATTTGGCAGTAAAAAATATGATCATTGGTTTTTTACCCTTCTATCTGGCAACAAAACTGACACCTTTTTTTTTTACGAGGAGTCAGTCATGTTTGCATTGACCAAAATACCTGCAGTCATAATGCAAACAAAAAACACACAACTCTGATAATGTATGCACTGTCCTTGAAGTTGATTGGTCCACACCCGAGACAGCTTTCCTTAGAGCCTAGTCTTACATTGGTTGGACCAGATGACTGCAGGTATTGTGGTCAATGCAAACATGACTCCTTGTAAAAAAGGTGTCCGTTTTGTTGCCAGATAGAAGGGTAAAAAAACAATTATCATGTTCTGGAGGAGTTGTACACCCCTAGCTGCCACTGTTATACTGGTAGGAACCTCCTGGTTACACCAGCCCACAGGGGATTACTGTGTCCGTCCGTCGTGCAGGGAGGGGCTGGGTGGGGAGGGAGGGGCTGGGTGGAGAGGGGAGAGTGGGGAGGGGCTGGGTGGGAGGTGTGGGGCTGGGTGGGGAGGGGCTGGTCACCCCGTGGTGCCCTTATAAAACTCAACGTTTAACCTACTCACGCCGGCTTGTGCCCGCCCTCACAGTCGGCCATATTTGCGGAATACACCACGCCCCCGTTGACCCTGCAGGCCATTGACCGAGCAACCCGACGTTCCTACCAGCTCCCTCTGCAGGGATGTGTTTCAGAATGGCCTGAAATCAAATGCATCATTTCGGATGAACGCTGCACAGCATGATCTTGAGTTTTGATTATAGTGTGCTGATCTTTAAAGGTGTGTTGAAAAATATTGATACTGCTACTTATACTCCTGCTGTTATGGAGTGACTCATGCAGCCAGCCATGGCTGCAAAGTTTGGTCGTACATGTTATATCGTTTATTGTTAAATTTAAATCACAGTTCCTATGATCACCGTTACATTGTTTTTATAGCTTTATTTTGGTGACTTTGAAAACGTTTTGGTTCAGCCATGTTTGTTTGTTTTAGTCCAGAGTTCGCCCGATAACTTTAATCTTAATTGTCTTGTGGTTGTCATTGTTTGACTTGCATCCCACTGGGATTTTTGCACACGGCGTTGGTGCGCGGCGCTTTTTCTGGAAGACTTTGCAGTTTTTTCCTGGATTTCCCTGTTGCGCGTAGTCACTTGAAGATCATTCTTCGTGTTTTTGTTTCTTGCGGTTGCACCCGAGTCAAGAGCCGCGTGGCCCACAGGGCTAGACCTCATACAGGAAATGAAACGCAACGCCGGAGGGGCCGGCACGCCGGCTCAGTCACCGTCCGGGCCGCTTGCCGGAGGCCCCCCCCGCAGGCCCACCACTCTCCGCGGTGCGAGCTCCTTGCCGCACCCCCACGGCCCGTCGTGGGGGGCCACCCTTGACGCCCGCGGAGGAGGGCCCCCCGCGGCCTCCTCCCGGGCGCCGTCCCCGCACGGTGGCGCCGCCGTCACCGCCGCCACCGTCACCGCCGCCGGCTTGTCGCCCGTCACCGCCGTCACCGGCTTGTCGCCCGTCACCGAGTGCCTGGTCAGCTGGTGCCGCTGGAGGCTGCCAAGCACCTGGACAAAGACAAAGGTGCCCCGCCACGCCGTGTAGGGCTAACGCACCGCTTGGGCCTGAGTGCTGTGAGCGAGTCTCGGCGCCTGTGTTGTGGGTGGGTAAGTGGGTGGGTGGGTAAGTGGGCGGGTGAGTGGGTGGGTGGGTGGGTAAGTGACTGGGTGGGTGACTGGGTGGGTGAGTGACTGGGTGGGTGAGTGACTGATCGGGTGGGTGACTGAGCGGGTGGGTGGGCGAGCGGGTGGGTGGGCGAGCGGGTGGGTGAGCGAGCGAACGGGTGCTGGAGCGGGTGGGTGGGTAAGTGGGCAGGTGAGCGAGCGGGTGGATGGCTGGCTGGGTGAGTAAGTGAGTTGTTGGGTGGGTGATTGGATAAGTGGGTGGGTGATTGGGTAAGTGGGAGGGTGAGTGACTGGGTGGGTGGGCGAGCCAGCGAGTGTGTGGATAGCTGAGTAAGTGAGTAGGTAGGTGAGTGAGTGGGTGGGTGAGTGAGTGGGTGGGTGAGTGGATGGCTGGCTGGGTGAGTAAGTGAGTTGGTGGGTGGGTGATTGAGTAAGTGGGTGGGTAAATAACTGGGTGGCGAGTGGGTGACTGGGTGGATGGGTAGGCGGGCGGGCGGGCGAGCGGGTGGGTGGATGGCCAAGTGAGTAAGTTGGTAGGTGCGTGATTGGGTAAGTGGGTGGGTGGGCGAGTGACTGAGCGGGTGGCCCGGGTGAGTAAGTTGGTAGGTGCGTGATTGGGTAAGTGGGTGGGTGATTGGGTAAGTGGGTGGGTGGGCGAGTGACTGAGCGGGTGGGTAGGTGAGTAAGTAAGTTGGTAGGTGCGTGAGTATCCGGCTTAGCCGAGCGCGTGAGCGGCCCGGCCAGGCGGCTGAGCGAGCGGCTCTTCACCGTGAACGTCTTCCCGCAGGCAGGGCACTCGTGCGGCCTCTCTCCGGCGTGCGCCCGCACGTGACGCCGCAGGTTGCCGTGCTCGGCGAACGCCCGGCCGCACAGGGCGCACGAGTGAGGCCGCTCCTCCGTGTGCGTCCGCTGGTGGTTGAGCAGGTGCTCCTGCTGGGCGAAGGCCCTCTCGCACACGGTGCACACGTACGCGCGCTCGCCCGTGTGGGTGCGCACGTGCCGCCGCAGGGCTCCCAGCTGCGTGAAGGCGCGGCCGCAGTCGGGGCAGGCGTGAGGCCGCTCGCCGGTGTGCGTGCGCCGGTGGGCCTTGAGGCTCGACGAGACGGTGAAGGCGCGGCCGCAGTCGCCGCACGCGTACGGTCGCTCGCCCGAGTGCGAGCGCGCGTGGATGTCCAGGTGGCTGCGGTGGTCCGTGCTGTAGGGGCACTGAGGGCAGCTGTGAGATTTAACCCGCGGCGGCGGCGGCGCTGGCGGCGGCTGCTCCATGACGACCGCCGACGGGTAGGGGGGAGCGTGGCACGGATGGGGATTAGTCCACGCACTCTGCTGCTGTGCCGCCTTCTAGCTGGCCGAGCCGGGGGGGGGGGGGTACGGCTCCTTATCGAGTTTCACAATCCCATCCGCGTGCGATCCATCAACCCTTGCCGCTGCCACCTCCCCCCCCAACCCCCCCCCCGCAACGTCTCACTCGGTCCGCATCTCGGTGAAGGTTGTGGCTAAATGAAGGATTTGATGGTTAAATAACGGGGCTGTATTTGCTGCGTGGGTCCAAGAAAGCGCTGTGCCGTCACGTGTCTAAAAAAAAAAATAAAGGGGCGTGTGAGCACGTGGTTACAAGATGGAGGGGCGTGTGAACACGTGTTACAAGATGGAGGGGCGTGTGAACACGTGTTACAAGATGGAGGGGCGTGTGAACACGTGGTTACAAGATGGAGGGGCGTGTGAACACGTGGTTACAAGATGGAGGGGCGTGTGAACACGTGTTACAAGATGGAGGGACGTGTGAGCACGTGGTTACAAGATGGAGGGGCGTGTGAACACGTGTTACAAGATGGAGGGGCGTGTGAACACGTGTTACAAGATGGAGGGGCGTGTGAACACGTGGTTACAAGATGGAGGGGCGTGTGAGCACGTGGTTACAAGATGGAGGGGCGTGTGAGCACGTGTTACAAGATGGAGGGGCGTGTGAACACGTGGTTACAAGATGGAGGGGGCGTGTGAACACGTGGTTACAAGATGGAGGGGCGTGTGAACACGTGTTACAAGATGGAGGGGGCGTGTGAACACGTGTTACAAGATGGAGGGGGCGTGTGAACACGTGGTTACAAGATGGAGGGGCGTGTGAACACGTGTTACAAGATGGAGGGGCGTGTGAACACGTGGTTACAAGATGGAGGGGCGTGTGAACACGTGGTGACAAGATGGAGGGGGCGTGTGAACACGTGTTACAAGATGGAGGGGCGTGTGAACACGTGGTTACAAGATGGAGGGGCGTGTGAGCACGTGTTACAAGATGGAGGGGCGTGTGAACACGTGGTACAAGATGGAGGGGCGTGTGAGCACGTGTTACAAGATGGAGGGGGCGTGTGAACACGTGGTTACAAGATGGTGGGGCGTGTGAACACGTGTTACAAGATGGAGGGGCGTGTGAACACGTGTTACAAGATGGAGGGGCGTGTGAGCACGTGTTACAAGATGGAGGGGCGTGTGAACACGTGTTACAAGATGGAGGGGCGTGTGAACACGTGGTTACAAGATGGAGGGACGTGTGAACACGTGTTACAAGATGGAGGGGCGTGTGAACACGTGTTACAAGATGGAGGGGCGTGTGAGCACGTGGTTACAAGATGGAGGGACGTGTGAACACGTGTTACAAGATGGAGGGGCGTGTGAACACGTGTTACAAGATGGAGGGGCGTGTGAACACGTGGTTACAAGATGGAGGGACGTGTGAACACGTGTTACAAGATGGAGGGGGCGTGTGAACACGTGTTACAAGATGGAGGGGCGTGTGAACACGTGTTACAAGATGGAGGGGCGTGTGAACACGTGTTACAAGATGGAGGGGCGTGTGAACACGTGTTACAAGATGGAGGGGCGTGTGAGCACGTGTTACAAGATGGAGGGGGCGTGTGAACACGTGTTACAAGATGGAGGGGCGTGTGAACACGTGTTACAAGATGGAGGGGTGTGTGAACACGTGGTTACAAGATGGAGGGGCGTGTGAACACGTGGTTACAAGATGGAGGGGCGTGTGAACACGTGTTACAAGATGGAGGGGCGTGTGAACACGTGTTACAAGATGGAGGGACGTGTGAACACGTGGTTACAAGATGGAGGGGCGTGTGAACACGTGTTACAAGATGGAGGGGCGTGTGAACACGTGTTACAAGATGGAGGGGCGTGTGAACACGTGGTTACAAGATGGAGGGGGCGTGTGAACACGTGTTACAAGATGGAGGGGCGTGTGAACACGTGGTGACAAGATGGAGGGGCGTGTGAGCACGTGGTTACAAGATGGAGGGGCGTGTGAACACGTGTTACAAGATGGAGGGGGCGTGTGAACACGTGTTACAAGATGGAGGGGCGTGTGAACACGTGTTACAAGATGGAGGGGCGTGTGAACACGTGGTTACAAGATGGAGGGGGCGTGTGAACACGTGTTACAAGATGGAGGGGGCGTGTGAACACGTGGTGACAAGATGGAGGGGCGTGTGAGCACGTGGTTACAAGATGGAGGGGCGTGTGAACACGTGTTACAAGATGGAGGGGGCGTGTGAACACGTGTTACAAGATGGAGGGGCGTGTGAACACGTGTTACAAGATGGAGGGGCGTGTGAACACGTGTTACAAGATGGAGGGGCGTGTGAGCACGTGTTACAAGATGGAGGGGCGTGTGAACACGTGTTACAAGATGGAGGGGGCGTGTGAACACGTGTTACAAGATGGAGGGGCGTGTGAGCACGTGGTTACAAGATGGAGGGGCGTGTGAACACGTGGTTACAAGATGGAGGGGCGTGTGAACACGTGGTTACAAGATGGAGGGGCGTGTGAACACGTGGTTACAAGATGGAGGGGCGTGTGAACACGTGTTACAAGATGGAGGGGCGTGTGAACACGTGTTACAAGATGGAGGGGCGTGTGAACACGTGGTTACAAGATGGAGGGGCGTGTGAGCACGTGGTTACAAGATGGAGGGGCGTGTGAGCACGTGTTACAAGATGGAGGGGGCGTGTGAACACGTGTTACAAGATGGAGGGGCGTGTGAACACGTGGTTACAAGATGGAGGGGCGTGTGAACGTGTTACAAGATGGGGGGGGGCGTGTGAGCACGTGTTACAAGATGGAGGGGCGTGTGAACACGTGGCTACAAGATGGAGGGGCGTGTGAACACGTGGCTACAAGATGGAGGGGCGTGTGAACACGTGTTACAAGATGGAGGGGGCGTGTGAACACGTGTTACAAGATGGAGGGGCGTGTGAGCACGTGTTACAAGATGGAGGGGCGTGTGAACACGTGTTACAAGATGGAGAGGCGTGTGAACACGTGTTACAAGATGGAGGGGCGTGTGAACACGTGTTACAAGATGGAGGGGCGTGTGAACACGTGGTTACAAGATGGAGGGGGCGTGTGAACACGTGTTACAAGATGGAGGGGCGTGTGAACACGTGTTACAAGATGGAGGGGCGTGTGAGCACGTGTTACAAGATGGAGGGGCGTGTGAACACGTGTTACAAGATGGAGAGGCGTGTGAACACGTGTTACAAGATGGAGGGGCGTGTGAACACGTGTTACAAGATGGAGGGGCGTGTGAACACGTGGTTACAAGATGGAGGGGCGTGTGAGCACGTGTTACAAGATGGAGGGGCGTGTGAGCACGTGTTACAAGATGGAGGGGCGTGTGAACACGTGTTACAAGATGGAGGGGCGTGTGAACACGTGGTTACAAGATGGAGGGGCGTGTGAGCACGTGTTACAAGATGGAGGGGCGTGTGAACACGTGTTACAAGATGGAGGGGGCGTGTGAACACGTGTTACAAGATGGAGGGGCGTGTGAGCACGTGGTTACAAGATGGAAGGGGCGTGTGAACACGTGTTACAAGATGGAGGGGCGTGTGAACACGTGTTACAAGATGGAGGGGCGTGTGAGCACGTGTTACAAGATGGAGGGGCGTACCGACACGTGTTGTGAATCTCAGTGCATGGGTGGAGGGGGTGGAGGTCTCACGTCATCGAACTCGGGACCCCCACGGCTTCGGCTGTCGGCTTCTGCAGCAGCAACAGCAGGGAGGGCAGCAGTAGCAAGTGCAGCAGTAGCAAGTGCAGCAGCAGTAACAAGTGCAGCAGCAGTAGCAAGTGCAGCAGCAGGTGCAGCAGCAGTAGCAAGTGCAGCAGCAGTAGCAAGGGCAGCAGCAGTAGCAAGTGCAGCAGCAGTAGCAAGTGCAGTAGCAGGAGTAGCAAGTGCAGCAGCAGTAGCAAGTGCAGCAGCAGTAACAAGTGCAGCAGCAGTAGCAAGTGCAGCAGCAGTAGCAAGTGCAGCAGCAGTAGCAAGTGCAGTAGCAGGAGTAGCAAGTGCAGCAGCAGTAGCAAGTGCAGCAGCAGTAACAAGTGCAGCAGCAGTAGCAAGTGCAGCAGCAGTAACAAGTGCAGCAGTAGCAAGTGCAGCAGCAGTAGCAGCAGTAGCAAGTGCAGCAGCAGCAGTAGCAAGTGCAGCAACAGTAACAAGTGCAGCAGCAGTAACAAGTGCAGCAGTAGCAGCAAGGGCAGCAGTAACAAGTGCAGCAGCAGTAGCAAGTGCAGCAGCAGTAACAAGTGCAGCAGTAGCAGCAGCAGTAGCCGTGGTACTGTTAGGAGGCAGCACGCAGACGCCTACAGCAACAGACTGGGCCCGGTTGCGTGGTGACGTCACCCCTCGCTGAGTAGAAGACGCGTATGACGTCACGGCGCCGGCGTGCGGGTGACGTCAATCCCCTGCTGGGAGAAAAACGCGGTGACGTCACGGCGCCGACGTCTCCCCCCCCCGCGGTGACGTCATCCCTTTGTTGTGAAAAAACGCGTCGACGTCACTTCCTGCTGGAAGAAGCTGCGGCGTGACGTCACCCCGACTGGTTGGCCTGGTATGACGTCACCGCGTCGTGCGTACGAAGACAAAGCTGCCCCGGGTAGCCCCACTTGTTTGGGGCAAGTGCTGCTCGCGAGCTGCAAGCGGCACCCTACGTCACGTCGTCACGTGACGTTGCTGACGCAATGGACCCGCCCCCACAATTCCTGGAATCCTAAATAACTTAAAATAAAAGCAATTTTTTACACGTTTTTATTTAACTCACTCTGTTGTTGTTGTTGTTGTATCTTCAAATCTATTTAAACTCTTATTTTAACCCACTTTCCAATGTGGTATCGACTGTAAACTTGGTATACTTATTTTTACTGATGACAATATTTTATCATTAAAAAAACAAGAGATTTTAAAACATTATTTTTTTAAGTTATGTTTCCGTTTGGGTCTAATTGTCCACGCTCAACTCACGTTGGCTGTAATTGGCCACGGTTCCTCGGGGCCACTTCCTGGGGTCGTGGAGTTCTGCCATTACTAGTACGGTACATTTCATTAAAGCGTGTTTGAAAAAAAGTGTTTTTTTATATTACTTATTTTAGTTTAAATCGGTACCAGGTTACTCTTTTTCAGAAGGCGACCCCTGACTTTATCACAAACGATGGCAAGCTCAACGAAATGGCTTCACGATGTCGGGACATTTCACAGCGACCAATTTCCTCTGATGAGAAACGCTAAGCTTCAAATCTAGAGCAGCAGGCGTCAGAGTCGAGATCGAACCCACGACCTCATGTATACCAGGCGAGGTAGTCAACATCTGGCCATTAAATTTCGATTTTAAGCTTTCGTGACTGCAGGGATTCATCTTCTTGGTTCTTTCGGTAAAGTCACGTAGATGGGAAATAATAAAATAATAAAAAATTAAACTTAATAAAATAATTCTCCTGGCCACTGATGATGATGAGAGAAACGCAAGCTCTAAATATACAGCAGCAGGCGTCAGAGTCGGGATCGAACCCACGACCTCATGTATACCAGGCGAGGTAGTCAACATCTCCTGGCCACTGATGATGATGAGACGCAAAGCTTCAAATATACAGCAGCAGGCGTCAGTCGGGATAGAACCCACGACCTCCTGTATACCAGGCGAGGCAGTCAACATCTGGCCATTAAATTTCGATTTAAAGCTTTCGTGACTGCAGGGATTCATCTTCTTGGTTCTTTCGGTAAAGTCACGTAGAAAGGAAATAATAAAATAATAAAAATAAAACATAATAAAATAATTCTCACTGGCCATTGCTGATGATGAGAGACGCAAGCTCCAAATATGCAGCAGCAGGCATCAGAGTCGGGATCGAACCCACGACCTCCTGCATACCAGGCGAGGCAGTCAACATCTCCTCGCTGAGTCGACCACAGGGAGGGGTCCAGGACCCGGTGAAGCTAATCGCCCGAGCGGGAATCGAACTCGTCGTGTGATGTTGCGCCAACCGCTGCACCACCGAGCGTCGCGATGGACAGACGGTGACCGTGGGGGGTGGAGGGCGTCAGTCCGGCAAGATCCCGCGGGAACTGCGCCCACGACCCTCCTGCGTGACCGGGCGAGGTAGTCAACATCTCCTCGGATACAATCGGCCGCCGATGTTGGCCGTGAGCGGGAATCCAACTCGGGTTCGCGGGTCGCGAACCGCCGCGCCGGCGATCATCGCGATGGAGAGACGGCCGCCGTGGGGCGAAAGGCGTCAATCCGGCAGGGTCGGGATCGAACCCAGGGTCCCTCCTGCTTGACCGGGCGAGGGAGATGACGCGGCCTCCTGGCCACCCAAGGCGCCGAGTCGACCTCAGGCTTCAGATGATCACCCCGAGCGGGAATCCAACTAGGGCTCGTAGCGCCAACTGCCGCGCCGGCGAGCATCGGCGATGGGCAGACGGCGACTGCGAGTCGGAGGGATCAGTCCAGCGGGGTCCCACGGGAACTGATCGCACGACCCTCCTGCACACGAACGGCCCGAGCGAGATAACGGCCTCACCGGCAAAACCGCACCTCTTGCAAGACGCAAGCGAGCGAGCGACAAGAGCGACGGAATGGACCTTCAAACGTTCCGTCGACGCTGTTCGCGAATGAGGTGGGGGGCGGGGGGGGGGGGCGTGGTGAGAACGACGAGAAATAACACGACGGCGAGGAGGCGAGCGTCGACGCGCCGGGTTCAGGGGCACTGCGCGGGGGGGTGGGGGGCCGCCCCCCCCGCCCCCTCCGTTGCTCACAGTCTTTTATTTTGCAGCACAGCGACGACAACGACGACGAGAAACGGGAGAGAGGCCCTCTCTAGACTCACGCAGAGGACGATGGTGGTGGACACACGGGGAAGATGGCGGAGTGGGGGGGGGGTGGTTGGGGGGGGGCAAGATGAAATGATGTTGGGTGAAGACGGTGGCTTCGGGGGGGACAGCGGGTAGCGAAAACGTCGCGACGCGTTGATACGAGCACTCTCCTACAGCCGCACCTCGGACGAGGATGTGAAGACCCCGAGACCCGGTGTCGGTGTCACGGAGACCCGGTCTCAAGACTCGGACCCCGAGACCCAGTCTCGGTGAGTCCCACTCAAGACTTGGACCCTGAGACCCAGTCTCGGTGAGTCTCATTCAAGACTTGGATCCTGAGACCCAGTCTCGGTGAGTCTCATTCAAGATTTGGATCCTGAGACCCAGTCTCCGTGAGTCTCATTCAAGACTTGGACCCTGAGACCCAGTCTCGGTGAGTCCCACTCAGGACTTGCACCCTGAGACCCAGTTTCGGTGAGTCTCATTCAAGACTTGCACCCTGAGACCCAGTCTCCGTGAGTCCCACTCAAGACTTGGACCCTGAGACCCAGTCTCGGTGAGTCCCACTCAAGACTTGCACCCTGAGACCCAGTCTCCGTGAGTCCCACTCAAGACTTGCACCCTGAGACCCAGTCTCCGTGAGTCCCACTCAAGACTTGCACCCTGAGACCCAGTCTCCGTGAGTCCCACTCAAGATTTGGATCCTGAGACCCAGTCTCGGTGAGTCCCACTCAAGACTTGGATCCTGAGACCCAGTCTCCGTGAGTCCCACTCAAGACTTGGATCCTGAGACCCAGTCTCGGTGAGTCCCACTCAAGACTTGGATCCTGAGACCCAGTCTCCGTGAGTCCCACTCAAGACTTGCACCCTGAGACCCAGTCTTGCTGAGTCTCATTCAAGACTTTGATCCTGAGACGCAGTCTCCGTGAGTCCCACTCAAGACTTGCACCCTGAGACCCAGTCTCGGTGAGTCCCACTCAAGACTTGCACCCTGAGACCCAGTCTCCGTGAGTCCCACTCAAGACTTGGATCCTGAGACCCAGTCTCCGTGAGGTCTCATTCAAGACTTGCACCCTGAGACCCAGTCTCCCTGAGTCCCACTCAAGACTTGCATCCTGAGACCCAGTCTCCGTGAGTCTCATTCAAGACTTGCATCCTGAGACGCAGTCTCCGTGAGTCCCACTCAAGACTTGCACCCTGAGACCCAGTCTCCGTGAGTCTCACTCAAGACTTGGATCCTGAGACCCAGTCTCCGTGAGTCCCACTCAAGACTTGGACCCTGAGACCCAGTCTCGGTGAGTCTCACTCAAGACTTGCATCCTGAGACCCAGTCTCCGTGAGTCTCATTCAAGACTTGCATCCTGAGACGCAGTCTCCGTGAGTCCCACTCAAGACTTGCATCCTGAGACGCAGTCTCCGTGAGTCCCACTCAAGACTTGCACCCTGAGACCCAGTCTCCGTGAGTCTCACTCAAGACTTTCACCCTGAGACCCAGTCTCCGTGAGTCTCATTCAAGACTTGCACCCTGAGACCCAGTCTCCCTGAGTCCCACTCAAGACTTGCATCCTGAGACCCAGTCTCCGTGAGTCTCATTCAAGACTTGCATCCTGAGACGCAGTCTCCGTGAGTCCCACTCAAGACTTGCACCCTGAGACCCAGTCTCCGTGAGTCTCACTCAAGACTTGGATCCTGAGACCCAGTCTCCGTGAGTCCCACTCAAGACTTGGACCCTGAGACCCAGTCTCGGTGAGTCTCACTCAAGACTTGCATCCTGAGACCCAGTCTCCGTGAGTCTCATTCAAGACTTGCATCCTGAGACGCAGTCTCCGTGAGTCCCACTCAAGACTTGCATCCTGAGACGCAGTCTCCGTGAGTCCCACTCAAGACTTGCACCCTGAGACCCAGTCTCCGTGAGTCTCACTCAAGACTTTCACCCTGAGACCCAGTCTCCGTGAGTCTCACTCAAGAGTTGCACCCTGAGACCCAGTCTCGGTGAGTCTCATTCAAGACTTGGACCCTGAGACCCAGTCTCCGTGAGTCCCACTCAAGACTTGGACCCTGAGACCCAGTCTCGGTGAGTCTCATTCAAAACTTGGATCCTGAGACCCAGTCTCGGTGAGTCTCATTCAAGACTTGGATCCTGAGACCCAGTCTCCGTGAGTCTGACTCAAGATTCGGATCCTGAGACCCAGTTTCGGTGAGTCTCATTCAAGACTTGGACCCTGAGACCCAGTCTCGGTGAGTCCCACTCAAGACTTGCACCCTGAGACCCAGTCTCCGTGAGTCTCATTCAAGACTTGGATCCTGAGACCCAGTCTCGGTGAGTCACATTCAAGACTTGGACCCTGAGACCCAGTCTCCGTGAGTCCCACTCAAGACTTGCACCCTGAGACCCAGTCTCGGGTGAGTCTCATTCAAGACTTTGAAGCTTAAAAAAAAACTAAAATGTTAAGTCTCTCTTTGCTCTAATAACATGATCACGAATGAATTTCAGTGGACTTGGCTTTCCCGATTTAAATTCAGATCTTCTTAATACCTGAAAGGGGCACGAGACAATTACATCAACGTCTACAGTGTTAGGAATAGTTAAAACAAAACTTCACTTATGTACAAAAAGACAAAGATTCCGATCGTCCCAATCCCCCCCCCCCCCCCCCCCCCCCCGTATAGCCTGAACAAGGCTGCCGGGGCAAGTGCTCTTACCGAGCACCTATGAAGGCCGGCACGGCACACGAAGGCGATGGGTGGCCAGAACCACGCCCAGCCGCGCCGGGTTACCCATTTGAGGCCGAGTAGACCCGGGGGAGGCTCAGGGCCGGTCCGGACTAGGCTCGTCGGGGTTCGTAGCGCGGTGCTCCCCCACTTAGTTACAGTACAAAGACAAAGATCCCCCCCCCCACCCCCTGTTTAGCCTCTGAGACTGTTTGGGGCAAGTGCTGTTAGCGAGCACAAAAAAGACAAAACATCCGCCCCGCGTAGCCTGTAACAGACTTTTTGGGGGCAAGTGCTGTTAGCGAGTAGCACCTATGAAGGCCGGCACCACGGCCGGCGATCTTTACACACCGCACCAGGTGCTGATTTTGAGGCAGAGTCGACCTCGGGGAGGCCTAGGGCCGGTTCAGATCGTCACTGGTGGTGTTTGGTCGTGAGGGAGGGGAGGAAGGGAGGGGAGGGAAGGGAGGGAAGGGAGGGGAGGGAGCAGCAACAGAGCGGCAGATTCCACCCGCTTTTATCCGCGCTTTAACCGGATGTTTCACCACGCAATGCCCACCCCCCCACGTAACAGTCGCCCCGAAGATAGCGGATAATCGCCGGTCGATTCCACGAAACCCTTTAACGGATATTAGGATCCACCAACAGCGCTCACCGGATCTCAACGCGGATTAAGGGAGAGGTGTTTTACTGCTCGCCATCGTGGTTGGGAGATGTTAATTACCTCGCCTGGTACGCAGGAGGCCGTGGGTTCGATCACGACCCCTGACGATGCCTGCTGCTGTATATTTGTAGCTGTTAGTGTCTCTGTCTCTATCACCATGGTGGCTAGGATACGTTAACCACCTCGCCTGGCATACAGGAGGCCGTGGGTTCGATTCCAACCCCTGACGATGACTGCTGTAGATCTGGAGTTTGCGTTTTTTTAATCCTTTATATTAAGTTCGCTTGCTTGCTTAGGACCGTGCAAATCTTTCGGTTGATTTTTAACCCACTTCCCGTGATCCAATCGAGCTGACATTTTCCACACAGACTCGTTGTGCGTGACAATTCATGTTCGTGAAAATTTTTTCCAAAATTTTACACTTTTTAGGACAAAAATATTATATTTAATTACCAATTGCTTAATGCTGCAATGCAATCATCTGACCCATAGGTGGCAGCCATCTCAAGCCAGAGGACAAGAGGACTCTAGCCGCCACGCATATAAAGGATTTATAGTGAAAAACTTTGTTTTTACGGGTTATACTTGTTCTTTCTTTCTCCAGGTCCTCCGTTTTTCCCCCTTCGCGTTTACAACTCAACATCACCGCTGCTAAAAATGCCCACGCGACGATGGTATCGGCCCCCTGCGCTCAGCTGCTATCGTTTGTGTCAGCCAGGGTCGCTTCTGAAAAAGGACCTGCACAGCTCAGCAGTGGGGGGGTGGGGGGCCTTACCCGCTAAATAAACAATAAATAGTTGTAGTTTTAGTTTAGTTCTTTTCGCCCCGCTAGCTTTTGAGGGGTGAGGGGGGGGGGGCAGGACGGGTTAGCTGGAGGAGTCGTGGGGGGGGGGGGGGGGGCAAGGGGCGTGCCGCCCCCCCCGACGCCCCCTTTTCCCCCTAAACATTCTCGCAACGGCCTCAAGAAGACAGGCGGTGGGCCAAGGCCTTCGCTCGTACGCGCGGCGCGGGAAGGGGAGGGGGCCGCCGACGGCTCAAGCGATTCCTCCGCCGGCCTTCAAAACGCCCATCGTCTTGCGCCCCCTTCGCTCCGCGGTTGAAACTACGGTCGTCGCCGATCGGCGTCGCGTAGGCCCGGACCGGGGCCCGTGGCCTCTCCGCGAGTTGAAGAATTTTGTTACGACCGAGCCGCCCGTCGCACGCCCGCTCTCCCCGCACTCCCCGCCCGCCCCTCAGCCAACTCGCCCGAATCACCCAACCAAGACGGCTCGGAGCAAAAACGAACGCGCGACTAGTGAGACGTCGATTGTTTTTAACCAATTGTTTTACCACCCCCGACTTTGCGAGCTTTGCATCCTCACGCGAGAGCCATCGTGAACAATCACGCTTGAGTGAATCTGCCCATGCAATAAAATACTCTCGTGTACGAGAAAAATCTTTGCGGCTTGTCAAACCACCCAACACAGCTTCTTCACGCGGTGCCTGCAAGATTAACCGTGGGGTTGAGCCCGACGGCCCAGACACCTCCTCCGCACGTTACGTGCACAGGTTGTGGGGGAGTGGTGGTGGTAGCGGTTTGCGCTGCACTGCGCTACGAACCCGGCGACCCGGGTTTGATTCCCGCTCGACAGCCAACACCCGGTGACGATTATCTGAACCGGTCCTGGGCCTCCCCCGAGTCGACCGAGTGTCAAATGAGTACCCGGTGTGGTGTGTAGTAAACATCGCCATGAGTACCCGGTGCTGGCAACCCACCCCCTCGTGTGCCACAGGGCCAGACTTCATAGGTGCTGCTACTCGCCAACAGCACTTGCCCCAGCAGTCTGTCAAGGCTATACGGGGGTATCTTTGCCTTTGTGTGTGCGTACGCCATTACCAAGCCATTCTGCACGGCTCTCCGTTTAGACAGCAGCTAACCGAGTCACGGATTATTTTGGTCCGCGTGTCACTGTCACTGAACGTCCAATCACGAAGATTTACTGGAACGACTCCCCAATTGTCCTCCGGTTCTCTCAGGAACAACACGGTCAACTTCGCGGCGATATGAGGCTGCGGATCGGGGTTCAGAGGGAAAAGACCCCCGGACCATTATAAAAGTTGAGTCTCCCAACGTGAAACCCAAAATCCAACAACTCCCCCCCCCGCCCCCAACTCCCCCATTCAACTGCCAACATCCGAACCGAGCCAGCATGGGGCCAGCATGGTAGGGGTGGTTTTTTCCACTGGAAACATCCGAACGGAGCCAGAACGGTACGGGTGTTTTTTTCCACTGGAATTATCGGAACCGAGCCAGCGCGGTTCCAGCACGGTACGGGTGTTTTCTTTCCACTGGAAACATCCGAACAGAGCCAGCGCGGTTCCAGCACGGTACGGGTGTTTTCTTTCCACTGGAAACATCCGAACCGAGCCAGCGCGGGGCCAACACGGTTCGGGTGGTTTTTGCCCACTGGCTGTTTGCCGGAAACTAAAGCATGATTTTCTGCTGCCGCTGGCATAGCAAGAAGTCGTCCGAATCTGGCTCGGGGGGGCTGAGCAGGGCCGGTGAAGGGGGGGGCGGAGAACGAAGCGTTCACCACGCACGTCACCGCTCGTTTGTTGCGAGCCGCGCGAGTGCGGGAGAGAAGCACAACCCCGGCGCCTACAGATCGGTGCCACAAAAACAAAACCCCCCCCACGTACAAAGTCTTCCGGCACCGTGGGTCTTAAATAAAAAAGAGACTGGGTGGGAGGGGGGGAGAGGCGCTCTCCGATCGCGAAAAACAAACAAAACCGACCCGAACCCGTCGTCGTAGCAGACGTCGTCGGGAAACACTGATCCTGCTAAAAAACGAAGCGGTGAAGCCGCGCGTGTTCTCTCGGCTCTCTCCTCCCGCTCGCGTCCAGAACCGCCGCGGGGGGGCGGGGCGTCGAAGGGGGGGCGGCGGTGGGCGGCGGGGGCCGGGGCGGCGATTCACGGGTCGACGCCGGGGCCTTCCCGCGTACCGTCCGGTTCGAGTTCGGGGCCGCGCTGCCCCGCGCCGAGCTCGGCCTTGAGCTTGGCCTTGCGCTTGGCCCCGCGCCTGCCGCCCACTCCCGCGGCCCGCCGCGGGTTCAGCGACGGCGGCGGCGATGACGGCGGCGGCGGCGGCCGCCCGCGGCTTGATGCGTAGTTTGATGTTGAGTTTGATGTTGGGCTTGGCGCCCGGCTCCGCGGCCGTCTCCTCTGCGGGCTCCACCTTGGGCACGACGATGGCGGCGACACTGTCGCCGCCATCGTCGTCGTCGTCGTCATCGTCGTCATCGTCGTCGTCGTCGAGCTCGATGCTCCGCCGTCGGCGTCCCGCGTACGCTCCGTCGTCGCTCCCCCCGTCGCTCAACTCCCCGTCGCTCAACTCCCCGTCGCTCCTCTCCTCGTCGCCGCTCCTCTCCTCCTCGTCGCCGCTGCCCTCCTCGTCGCTCCTCTCCTCGCCGGCCCCTCCCTCGTCGTCGTCGTCATTGTCGGAGGCAGCTTCGGACTTGAGCTCGGTGCCGGCGGGCGTCCGCGCCCGAGGCGCCTCCCGCGTCCTTCGCCTTCTGCTGCGACCGTCGCCGCTTCCTCTGCTGCTGCTGCTGCCGCCGCTGCTGCTCCTGCAGCTGCAGCTGCTGCCGCCGCTGCTGCTCCTGCAGCTGCTGCTGCTGCTGCTGCTCCAGCAGCTGCTGCTGCTGCTTGACGTGCGTCCTCTCGTGCTGGCGCAGGTTGGACGAGTTGGTGAACGCCTTGCCGCACACGAGGCACTTGTAGGGCTTCTCGCCCGTGTGCGTCCGCTGGTGGCTCTGCAGCGTGCCCAGCTGCGTGAAGTCCCGGCCGCACGCCGCGCACACGTACAGCTTCTCTCCCGTGTGCGTGCGCACGTGGCGCTGCAGGTCGCCCGACTGAGCGAACGCCTTTCCGCAGGCGGCGCACTTGTGCGGCCGTTCTCCCGTGTGCGTCGTCTGGTGCCGCTGGAGGCTGCCGAGAACGGTGAAAGCCTTGCCGCACGTCGGGCAGCGGTGCGGCTTCTCGCCCGAGTGCGCCTTGATGTGCCGCTGTAGGTTGCCGTAGATGGTGAACGCCTTCTCGCACTGTGGGCACTTGTACGGCTTCTCGTCCGTGTGCGTGCGGTGGTGCGTCAGCAGGTGCTCCATCTGCGAGAAGCGCTTGTCGCACACGGTGCACGCGTACGGGCGCTCGCCGGTGTGCGTCCGCCGGTGCTTCTGCAGGTCGCCGAGTTGCGTGAAGGCTTTGCCGCACTCGCCGCACGGGTGCGGCCGCTCGCCCGTGTGCGTGCGCATGTGGATGTCCAGGTGGCCCTTGCGCCGGGTGCTGTAGGCGCAGTGGTCGCAACGGTGCATCTTGTGCGGAGGCGGCGGCGGAGGAAGAGGAAGAGGAGGAAGAAGGTGCGGCAAGGGTTCACCGTCGGGGGCGCAAGCGGCCGGGGGGAGGGAGGACAGCGGGGGGAGTAGGGGGAGGGGCCCCGCTAGCGGGAGGGTGGGGGCAGCGGGGGGGAGGGCGGGGGGCGCCATCGCCATCTCTTGCTCCATGAGTCCTGCTCCCGGCAGACGCGCGCTGTGCAACACGCGCGCAGCAATCGGTCAAGACCCGTGTCTCGGTAAACTAGAAACTAAACAGTTTAACAGTTGGCGACCAGTATCGTCCGTAACGCAGGTTTGTTTTGGGTTAGATTGCGCACATATACGTGTCGTTAAACCCGCCACCACCCGACAATACGCCGCTGCACTAATTGTATATTTGAAGCTTTCGTGACTGCAAGGATTCATACTCTTAGGTTTGTTCGGTAAAGTCACTGTACTAGTATACTACACTATACACTACACTATACACTAGTGCTTTACTAGTAACAAATTGGCACGTTCTGTTTACGTGACACAAACCCTCTTACCGATTGTCTGCGTCGGGTGGTGGCAGGTTTAACGACACAATAACATTTATATATTTACGCGATCTAACCCTAACAACCTGTGTTACGGATGGCACGCTCCATTTACGTGACACAAACCCTCTTACCGATTGTCTGCGTCGGGCGGTGGTGGGTTTAACGACACAACATTTATATATTGACGCGATCTAACTCCAAATAAAAACCACCTGTATTGTGGATAAATCTAAACAGTTTTTTTTATTTTGCACGCGTACGTACGCACGTTTGTAGAGCTTCTTTCGCACCGGACGTGGCCAACCGATGATGCGCAGGGAAAGGACAAACTGAATGCCAAAAAAGCTGTCCATTCTACCGGGTAAGGCCCACTGAGCTGTATAGCGCTGTCTTCTTGACCTGAGACCAAGAATGTTTAGGGGTAAAAGGGGGCGTCGGAGGGGGCGACACGCCCCTTGCCCACCCCCCCCCCCCCCGACTCCTCCAGCTAACCCGCCCTGCCCCCCCCCCCCTCACCCCTCAAAAGCTAGCGGGGCGAAAAGAACTAAACTAATAGACCCTGGCTATCGCAAATGATAGCTCAACAAAGTTGCTTATCGCGCGGAAATGTATAGTAGCAGCAGCAGCTGCGGTGGTGATGTCAACTACCTCGCCTGGTATACGGGAGGTCGTGGGTTCGATCTGGACCCACGCCTGCTGCCGTACATTTGGAGTTTGCGTGTCTCTCTCTCCGTGGTCGCGTGGATTTTTCTCCGGGTCCTCCGGTATTTCCCTCCAAATTTAGGATCAACATCACCCGTTTCGAGTATTTGGCCGCTATAAATGTTCACGTGATGATGAGCCACTTCGTTGGGCTATCACTTGTGGCCAGGGCGCATCTGAAAAACGAGCTACATAGGACAGTGTGTTTTACCTGGTAAGATCACAAAAAATAAGTTTTTAGGAATGATTTAACTAATTATGCTGCTACTGGTAATGTGCATGACTGATGATGATGTTGATGTTAATAGTGCTGATTTGAATGACTCGTGAAACCAATAATACCGATGACGATGTTGCTGCCGATGCTACTGAAAATTGCGTTACCGACGATGCCAATGCCACTGAAGCTCTCCTCTCTTTGGTTCTTTCGGTAAAGTCACGTAGGTCGAAATAAAACAAAATAAATCACGTTTTGAACGCAACACAAGCGCTCAAGGCGGCAGACATCGTGCTGCTCGCAGCAGACATCGCGGCTATCGCGATTGTCACCTGAAGATGATGACGCTTGTCAGAGGTCGCAACCGGGTACCCGATACCCGTACCCTACCCGATACCCGTACCTGGCCGGGTACGGGTACCCGTTTGCGACCCTGGTGCGGCCGGGTACGGGTACGGGTAGGCCGTGAGTCACTGGTGAGTAACTGTTTGTCACTCATTTCGGGTAGGATACGGGTAGGGAACGGGTACCCATTTGCGACCCTGGTGCGGCCGGGTACGGGTACGATTCCAAGAACACAGGATGAGATATCTACACTATGGGGACCTCATTTGCCAGTAAAAATATGATAATTGGTTCTTTACCCTTCTATCTGGCAACAAAACTGACACCTTTTTGCAAGGAGTCTTTTGGCGTCATCTGGTCCAACCCATATGAGACTAGGCTCGAAGGAAAGCTATCTCGGGTGTGGACCAATCAACTTCAGGGACAGTGCACATTATCAGAGTTATGTCTTTTGTTTGTATTTATGACTGCAGGTATTGCGGTCTATGCAAACATGACTCCTTGCAAAAAGGTGTCAGTTTTGTTGCCAGATAGAAGGGTAAAGAACCAATTATCACAGGATGAGATGTTACTATCCTTTGTGCAAGCACTTCCAAGAGTTCATGAACAGTGAGCCTGGTGAAATTTGGGGAGCGCATCGTCAGTAGTGAACCTTTGGTTCCTAGGGTGTTTCGGCCTTTCATACTATACACCCTCCCCAAAGGCGGCCAGCGACAGGGTGATCAATCCTACGCTTGCGTCCCATTCCCAATTAGTCATAGGCGTTGCCTTGTTGTTGATAGCCAACATCAACAACAAGGCAGGTACGGGTAGGGAACGGGTACCCATTTGCGACCCTGGTGCGGCCGGGTACGGGTAAGGAATCAAAACCCGTTTGCGACCCTCTGGCGCTTGTGTTGCGTTCGAAACGTCGCGATTTATTTTTTTAATTTTTACCTACGTGACTTTACCTAAAGAACCGCAGAGTATGGATTCCTGCAATCACGAAGAATAAAAATCAACCTACTCAAGCTATTATACCAGAGGTCGCAAACGGGTTTCGATTCCTTACCCGTACCCGGCCGCACCAGGGTCGCAAACGGGTACCCTACCCGTACCCGGCCGGGAACGGGTATCGGGTACCTGATTGCGACCTCTGGGATGAAGCCATATTGCAGGCGCGGGTGGGTTGATTCTAGGAACTTGAATTGTGAGAAGAGACAAGACGTTGGGAAATGAGTGACAAACGGTGACTCACCAGTGACTCACGGCCTACCCGTACACGTACCCGGCCGCACCAGGGTCGCAAGCGGGTACCCGTACCCGGCCGGGTACGGGTAGCCTGATGCTAGTGATGATGCTGATGCTACTGACAAGGCTGATGCTCCTGATGAAGCTGTTGCTGCTGATGTTGATTCTACTGACAATGCTTATTCTTGTCGCTGATAATGTGGCTGATTATATCAACAATGCTAATGCCACTGATGCTACCGGCGAAGTGGGTACTCAACAATGCCGACGATGCTTCTGATCGTGATATATCTGCTGATGGTGATGTTACTGCTGATGATGTTGTTGATTTTACTAACAATGCTGATGCCACTGATGCTACCGGTGAAGTTGCTGCTGCTGATGACGCTGCTGCTACTCATAGCGATGATATTTCTGGTGCTGATGATGTTGTTGATTTACTGACAATGCTGATGCCACTTATGCCGCTGATGATTTCGCTGCTGCTACTCACAGTGATATTTCTGCTGATGATGTTGATGTTGCTGATTATACTGACAATGCTGATGCCACTTATGCCGCTGATGATTTCGCTGCTGCTACTCACAGTGATATTTCTGCTGATGATGTTGATGTTGCTGATTATACTGACAATGCTGATGCCACTTATGCTGCTGATGATTTCGCTGCTGCTACTGACAGTGATATTTCTGCTGATGATGTTGCTGATTATACTGACAATGCTGATGCTACTGGTGAAATTTCGACTCAACAATGCTGCAGATAGTGATACTTCTGCTGATGCTGATACTGTTGATGATGACGCTGCTGCTACTCATAGGGATACGTCTGCTACTGCTGATGTTGCTGATTATAGTAACAATGCTGCTGAGTGATATTTCTGCTGCTGATGATGCTGCTGCTAATGGTGAAGATGCTGTTGATGATGACACTGCTACTCAAGTGATGTCTGCTGCTGCTGATGTTGCTGATTATACTAACAATGCTGCTGATAGTGATATTTCTGATGTTATTGCTGATGCTAATGGTGAAGATGCTGTTGCTGATGACACTGCTACTCAAGTGATGTCTGCTGCTGCTGATGATGTTGCTGATTATACTAACAATGCTGATGCCACTACTTGTCAAATTGCTACTCAACAATGCCGATGCTGCTACGGCTGATAGTGATGAGATTTCTACTGAATATCCTGCTGATGATGATGTTGCTGCTGCTGCTAATTACACCAACAATGCTGCTGCCGATGATGCTGCTGATGCTGATCCTGCTGATGATGCTGATCCTGATGATGCTGATCCTGCTGCTGATGATGCTGATCCTGCTGCTGATGATGCTGCTGCTGATGATGCTGATCCTGCTGATGATGCTGCTGCTGATGATGATCCTGCTGCTGATGATGCTGATCCTGCTGCTGCTGATCCTGCTGCTGCTGCTGATCCTGCTGCTGATGCTGATCCTGCTGCTGATGATCCTGCTGCTGCTGCTGATCCTGCTGCTGCTGATCCTGCTGCTGCTGCTGATCCTGCTGCTGCTGCTGATGATCCTGCTGCTGCTGATGATGCTGCTGATGATCCTGCTGCTGCTGCTGATCCTGCTGCTGATGATCCTGCTGCTGATGAGCGTTCAGTGAAGAGGTGACGGAGGAGGAGGGAGGGGCACTGGGGGGGTGGGAGATGAAGACGCGCGGTGACGTCACCACGCGCGCGCGCGGCGACCTCTGACCCCGGCGGCGTCTCGCGCCCTCCTCGCCTGACGAGGCCGCAGGCTTCGCCTCGCTCGCTCGCCCCCCCCCCCCAGAGGCTGAGGCGACGTTTGTGAGGAGATGAGATGAGAGAGAGAAGAAGAGAGGGGGGGGGGGGGGGGGGGAGGGGGGCGAATACCCCCCAATAATAATGAGGGGATTAACAGAGTTGTGGTTTGCCGACGGAAAGGAGATTTAATCCACCACCGCCACCACCACGTACGCCATCCACGGCCACGTACCTTTGCCTCTCCTCTCCTCCCCACCCCGCGCGGAGCCTCGACAAAGGCGGCTAGAGGCACCGCGTAGCCAGCCAGCCACCACCCCCCCTCACATGCGGGGGACAGGCAGCGGCGGCACCCCGCCTGGAGCGCCACGGCCGCCTACTCGCGACAATTCGGGCGGTCGTGAGGGTGGTGGGTGGGGGTGGGGGTCCTAGCGGTGACGTAGGGGGTCAGGGGGGCGTGGCCATCCATTGACTCCGCCCACTTATTGCCGTTGGTCCCCGCCCACTGCCCCCACCCACCCGATTACACCCCCCCCCCCGCTGACCCCCCCCCCCCGCTACTACAACCCACCCCCCCGCTGACCCCCCCTCCCCCGCTACTACACACCCCCCCCGCTGACCCCCCCCTCCCCCGCTACTACACCCCCCCCCCCCGCTGACCCCCCCCCCCCGCTACTACAACACCACCCCCCCACTGACCCCCCCTCCCCCGCTACTACACCCCCCCCGCTGACCCCCCCCTCCCCCGCTACTACACCCCCCCCCCCCCCCGCTGACCCCCCCCTCCCCCGCTACTACACCCCCCCCCCGCTGACCCCCCCCTCCCCCGCTACTACACCCCCCCCCCCGCTGACCCCCCCTCCCCCGCTACTACAACCCCCCCCCGCTGACCCCCCCCTCCCCCGCTACTACACCCCCCCCCCCGCTGACCCCCCCCTCCCCCGCTACTACACCCCCCCCCGCTGACCCCCCCCTCCCCCGCTACTACACCCCCCCCCCCGCTGACCCCCCCCTCCCCGCTACTACACCCCCCCCGCTGACCCCCCCCTCCCATCCGCTGCCCCCGCCCCCCCACACCCCCCACCACCCGACTTACCCCCCCCCCCGCTACTACACCCCCCCACCGCCCCCACCCCCCATCCGCTGCCCCCCCCCCCGCCGCTACCATCCCCCTCCCAACAGCCCCCACCCACCGCGCGCGAGCGTTGGTGACGTCACCAACGGTCACCCGTCTCGCGCCGGGGGGCGGGGCGTGTTGAGGGGAGCAGAGGAAGTGACGTCGGCTTACAGGAAGTAAATCTTTGGACGGCTCACCCCGAAACGAATCAAAACAACCACAATGCAACGCGGACGGTGTTAAGCGATATTACTTTTTAAAGTTTATTCGTTTCTTCAGAGATAGGTTTTTGTTCGAGGAACGTAGGCTTTGGTCTGCTACGCGGTAGCTTCTAATAGTGTAACAGTGCGTTTTGGCTCATTACAAAAACTAGGTCATGAGAAAAAAAATGAATATTACGTCCCATAGTGTAAATGTATTGACTCACCGACCATTATGAACTCAGGATGCAAAACCTCTTGTTTCGCGAGCTATGAATAAGGGGCGTTGCTTGGAACGTCGGCTATTTATGTATCGTCTCTTTCACGGAACCACACGTACAGTGTTTATAGGCGGACCTGTTCGGTTATTAGTTCTGTAGTATTGTCATCTTCAATCCTGTAACCCAAGACCGTAATTATAATATAATTTCATATATACTCAAAATGTCCCCCAAAGATATTTATAATAATAAAATTGCTATGCTATGTAAATAAAAATAACAATTTGCTAAACCTTTGCCACAATATCTGGACTTGTCTTCACATAAATCAATGCATAGATTTCTGTTTATATGATTGTGGTTATGATTGTACTATATGAATCCCTAAAACTCTGCCATTACATACAATGAAACACGAAATGGTAAAACAAAGTAAAAACAGAGCAATGTAATACAATAACACCATTAGACATTATTGTAAAAAATAAATAAAAAGTCCATCCCATGTGTTAGTGAATTTTTTTATATTTTAGGCAGGAAATTCGTTTTCAAAATTAGATATTTTTCTGGGTTGGCACCCCCAAACACCCTGGAAGATTTGATCCACCCCAATGTTGAATCCATGGCTACGGCCTTTCTGTAACTTTGAATAGGGTTATCCGTATTAAAAAAAATACCTTAAAGTGTACATAGTCTCAAACACCTCTATAGGGTTACTCCCCGACAAGGTAGAAAGATGACAATTGGTTACACGGGTAGCTTTAAGGAGACAACATGAGAGAAAAACTCTATCTTCTACATAAATAAAGACCTTAATATGTACATAGTCTCAAACACCTCTATAGGGTTACTTTCCAACAAGGTAGACAGATGACAATTGGTTACACGGGTAGCTTTTAGGAGACAACATGAGAGATAAATATTTCTTCTATATAAATTAAGGCCTTAATCTGTACGTCTAAAAAAAACCTCTAGGGTTCAAGTTCAAGTTCATTTATTAGGTATAGCCCTGTGAGCCATTCGGCTCTTGAATCGGGTGCAACCGGCAAGGTAGACACCTGAGATGTGGTACACAGATCGCTTCTAGGACACAAGCAACAGAAGAGAGAATAAGTATAACCCGTAAAAACAAAGTTTTTCACTATAAATCCTTTATATGCGTGGCAGCGAACTTAATATAAAGGATTTAAAAATATATTCGCCTGTGTAGGACGCAGGGATCGATCCCGCGACCTTTGGCATGGGAAGCGAGGGCGCTACCAACTGCGCTACTCCGCCACGGCCTGTGGAGGGGTTACGCTCTGGGCTCTTACACTGTGACGTTCAGCCAAAGCCATGAATGAGTTCTATTTGAATATATGTAAAATAAAAAAAAATTGTCTAAAAAGTGTAAAATTTTGGGAATTTTTTTTCACGAACATTAATTGTCTCGCACAACGAGTCTGTGTGGAAAATGTCAGCTCGATTGGATCACGGGAAGTGGGTTAAAAAACGACCGAAAGATTTGCACGGTCGTAAGCAAGCAAGCAAGCACGCAAGCAAGCAAGCACGCAAGCGAACTTAATATAAAGGATTTCAAAATCAGAAAATCCCAGATTTGTCATTTTAAGGTCCACAATCTCGACGTTTAAGTGCCCCATGGACACGTCTGTGTGCGTGGTGTCATTCAGAAGCCGTTCACGATATAAGTTTGCGGGTTCTTTCGTTTGATAGGAGAGCGTTAGACGGCAAATAAATGTTATCAATAAATATAATAATTAACCTGACTTGATTTGTGTTGCAGTTTGTGAGCTACGATCAGACCACTTAGCAAATAACTCCAACAATTTGGTATTTTTTCCGCAAAAAACACGAAAATTGTTGGCGACTGTGATTCAACTTCTATTTAAAGACGTAACCATTGGAAGCCGCTCAATTTAAAGATGCCGTTCTTTTTGCTATTAGAAAGAACAAAAAGTACAAACGTAATAGTCTATGAGGAGAACCTCTCCTATCTTTTAACGTTTTCGAATTATTCAGATGTCAACATCGTAAAATGCGGATTTTATTCCTTCAAAAACCGCTTGCATCTGAAATATCTCAAAAACAATGAAATATAGAACAATGGTTCTGGCTTCTAATTTTATTTGCAGTTTAACGCTCGATCAAACGAAAACCCCCACAATCTTACATCGTAAACGGTTTACGAATGACACCACACACACAAACGTGTTCATGGGACACTTACAATTGAGATTTGGGGGCCTAAAATGACAAATCTTCGATATTCAGATTTGTCTATGTCCTAAAGGCTACCTGTGTACCACAGTTCAGCTCTCTCGGGAAGTGCCCTAGAGGTTGTTGTGGATTTACTCTCCAACACAGAACCGGTTTAGCGCTGCACTAGTAGACTACACTATACACTACATTATACACTACAATATAATTTAAATGTTGTAGTAGGATTACTCTCCATCACACAACTGGTGTAGTGCTGAACTAGTATACACTATACACTACACTATAGACTACACTATACTCTACTATACACTACACTATACACTACACCATAATTATAAATGTTGTAGTGGGTTTACTCTCCAACACACAACCGGTGTAGCGCTGAACTAGTATACTAAACTATACACTACACTATACACTACACTATACACTACACTATACACTACACTATACACTATACTATAATTGTAAAAGTTGTAGTGTGTTTTACTCTCCAACAAACAACCGGCTGTATTTGGCTGCTATGAATTTCCACGTGTCGATGGAACGCCGAATCAATTGAAAAGGGTGCTTACCAAAAATGTGACACTTATATGGGACTATCGTTGTTGATGGGGAAAAAGAACTGGAACATGATAACAAAGGTAACGTCAACATTCTAGATTGAAGCTTTCGTGACTGCAAGGATTCATATTCTTAGGTTTTTTCCGGTAAAGTCACGTAGGTAAAAAAATAATAATAAAAGTAAAATAAAATAAAAATCACTTAACCACAATACAAACTGCTTGTGTTGTGGTTATGTGATTTTTATTTTATTTTTATTTTACTTGTATTAATTTTAAATTTTTTACCTACGTGACTTTACCGAAAAAACCTAAGAATATGTAACGTCAACAGCTTGAAAAAGCCAGTGTCCAATTGCTCGCCATCATTGTCAACGCATGGCCTGGAATCTTGTCCAGGTGCTCTCCAGAGCCCGGAGGCACATTTCTTGTGAAATTCTTAGAAGTTTTCAAAAAATGCTGAAGCACCCTGTACGCTACACGATACACTACACTGCAATACACTACACTATATACTACACTATACACTACTATACACTTTACACTACTATGCACTACTATACACTACACTATACACTACACTGCGATATACTACACTATACACTACACTATAGTACACTACTATACACTACACTATACACTACACTATACACTACACTACACTACACTGCGATATACTACACTATACAATGCTATACACTATACACTACACTATGCACTACACGATACACTACACTGCAATACACTACACTATGCACTACACGATACACTACACTGCAATACACTACACTATACACTACATGATACACTACACTGCAATACACTACACTATGCACTACACGATACACTACACTGCAATACACTACACTATACAATGCTATACACTACACTATACACTACGCTGTTATACACTAGACGATACACTACTATACACTGTACTATACAGTACACTGCTATACACTACACTATACACTACACGATACACTACACTGCAATACACTACACTATACACTACACTATACACTACACTATACACTACACGATACACTACA